CAGGAGGCACTGAAACGTATAGATCCGTCGAAAACCGCATGTCGGAAATTTGACTCGATTGCAATACTTTCCTTACTTAGTATAGGTAGGAAAGTAAAAAATTGTTAGAATTAGAAATTTCAAACTTCCAATAAATTCTTTCTTCCCTTGCTCGCCGTTTTGTCTATGCGGGGTTTCCCACCGAGCAGAAGAGAGGGCGGGGATTAATACCCGAGTTTCATTTTAAGTCTTATCTTAAAATATTATAAATCCGTTTATCAGGTGAGGGGCGCTTATCTCGGCCACTCTATCTCTCTACCCTCTGTACTCAGATCCATGTGCCGCTTGATGACGAAATTTTTTAAGAATCATGCTAGTTGGCCGAAGATGGTCCCAGATCTATTTCATCTCGTACTTTATCTAACCAGAGGTCCCAAAGGTAGTTTCCTAGACACATTTTTACCTCAAAATGGCTCATTCACTTTGGTTCAAAGTTGGGTTCTCATTTAAGAACTTTCAGTTTGGGTAAGTGAACCAGTAGCTTACATACTACAGGTAATTTCTTTGAACTTTTAAGCGTGAAAACTTAAATATAGTAGAGTCCGTAGTACAGATTTCTTTTTATCAAATGATTGACATCCACCTGAAACTTCGTAAATAACTTCATCCCAAGGCAACCTACAAATATTTTATTTACGAAAAATCGCGGAATTGGGGCGTTTTCATTCTGTAAGTCGGCAAACTTTGTCTATTTAATTAGGTATTAAAAACACTTAAATACCCATTTGCTTACAACTTGAATCGTAACATAACTTGAGCACAAAGTCGACCTAAAAAAAGGCGGCCTTCAAAAATATTAAGCCGTTTGGCGTGACCTATAACCCCAAATTGTCAAAATAACGAGGTTATTTTCAAGTTAATTTATTATTAGCCATATTTACACCAATTTTTAAAAAATTTTGTCACTTAATGACTACTCATCACAATGACGACGTTTCGGCTCGTCGAGCCATTTTCAAGTCTAAATTTTTTTTTTCATTTACAATCATATATTAACTTTAACATATTTCAAATTATAAAGATTCTTATTGTGTACCTAATTTTTTTTAAAATTGGTGTAAATATGGCTAATAATAAATTAACTTGAAAATAAATAGTATGCACCGAAGAAGAAGTGAGTAATATTGTGAAATTATATAGATCAAACAGCCCAATTTTTTTGTAGGCCTCCTTTTTTTTTTATCGATTTTTGGGTCAAATTATCTTTCGATCCAAGTGAAAAGCAAATTAGTATTTACGAGTTTTTATTACCTAATTAAATGGAGAAAGTTTGCCCACCTCCAGATTGAAAACGCCCCAATTCCGAGAAATTTCATAAATAAAATATTTGTTGGTTAAAATGAGATGAAGCTACGAAGTTTCCGTATTCACAGTGCAATAGCAAACGCAATACTAAGCTAGTTTCAACAAGAGTTAACAGATATAGTTGTTGACATATCACAAACAGGATAAACAATACACTTAAGGGATTAATTTATCAGATAAGAAGTGTATCATAGTGACATAAAAATAAACATAAAAAAAGCGAAAGGAATTATTTACCAATCCAATACAACAAGAAAATATAGAAACTGAAAATATATGAAATACGTCTATGAGGTCTTGGAATTTTATTATTTCCATTTTTCTAGAGAGAAGCGTTTATTTGTATAAATAATACAATATTATGAAATTTGTCAGTTCATGAAACAACAATTGTATAGTTTTGTGTTTAGCTAATAATTAGTGAAGCTACTTACTTTATGACTTTCTTTCGCTAGCTTTCGACTTTACGAGTTTTTTCTCAGGCCAAGGGAGATGGTGGAAAATAAATATCAGAAATAAAAGCATCCCCCACTCCTCTCGTTACTGGGACTCGAGCTCGTAATTATTTTATCTTTAAATCTTTAATTTTTCAGATTACCGGAAAACGTTTGTTTTTCAAAGGCACACCCACCACTCCCCACTTTATAATGACTATGTTGAAAGTAATAGTATATTCATTATTTGATTAGCTTGTTTATTTTGCTATATTGTCGGAGATACGCAAAGGATTTCCTCATTTATTTTTTCAATAAACTTATAGCTTATCGTAGACTCAATTAAACAAGATCATCTTTTTTTAAATAAATCGCTTAATTTGTATTTTCGGCAAAAATTTATCGTTAGAACAAATAGTCTGATACAGTATCTGACAAAGCTCTCCCTAGAGGAGACTACAATATAATTTTCAAGGAATATGACAATAAAAAATAAAATAAATAATATGACAAAATCTTATAGAGAATAAGATGATATAGGATGAGGATAGTGTCTGAAGATGGGATATAAAAGTGGATCCCGAAACGTCATGATGTAGTGGAGTGGAAATGATTTTGGGAGGATAAATACTGTAACGAAAATTCTTACTTATATACCTCGAAATTAAATATCACCCTTAGGATTAAACACTAGCGGATCCAGGATTTAATTTGGAGGGGGGGCTTCAGCCCGGAAGTTTTTTTTTTCATATATATAACGATAATTACTTTGGAAAAACAAAAAGATACTAACTACCTATATGAAATGATGTTTAAGTGATTATTGAAGTCCTATTATATGTAATTAAACGAGCAATAATACTTTAAGACATATTTTTTAAATTTTTTTTACCATAGAACATGGTTACATTTTACTATTTGGGTAAATCCGTCTGTGGGATTAATGAAGAAATGATTGTAATATGTTCAACTACTTTCTGCATTATTTGGGATTTCTTTTTCAGTATGCTAGAAATGATCTAGGAACCAGTCGTCATCGTGGTGTAGCAATTCGAAACTAGTACCCAAAATATATTTACTTAATAATAGTTCATTCCTCTTAGAAAATATTTACAATATCTAAACGAGTTAACAGTCAGGATGGCATCACCATCTGATTGCTGCCATAGCCTCGCGTCCTTCAACTTCCAGGAAGGATCCTGTCATCGCCAAAACAAACACATGGCCTGGAATGGATTGTTTACTGTTTGTTCTTGACATTGCTAAGAAATCTGATCGATGAGTAACGTTTATTTTATCCGGTCTTATAACATGGTGGATTATCAGACATGAATTTAGTTAATTTTGCTTTTAATCATATGTTAGTTCAGAGGTTCGCGAGCCCAATAAAAGTCATGGGTAAGAATATTTGTATTACTTTCCCTACCTCACTGTTGGAAGGAATCTTTGTAGTTATGAGATAACTTAAAAAACCTACAGATTATTTGTCTACGAAAATTCTCAGAAATAGTGCATTTTATCATTATATCGATTAATTTAATGAGTCACTAAAGAATCATATATCAAGATATAAATTACTTTTCAATTAAATCGAAAGATAATTTAATCGAGAAAAATATTGTGCCGTTTGGCCTATATAACCTAGTTATTTTGACATTGGGTAGTGGATGTTACTCCTAACGACCCAATATTTTTTTAGGAACAGTATATGTGGATGTTCATGAATTTTTAGTTCTTCATTAAATACACAAAGTATCGATAAATTCTGAGAAAAAAAATGTTAAACATTAAAAAAAAAATTGATAAATAAATTAAAGTAGTTAATTATATTTTAAAATTCCATTGAATTTCCTCTGGCAATGGTTAAGAACAATTAAACATTTTAAATATATTTACTAAACGAAATTGACAAGAAAATAAGACATTATTATTCAACGAGTTATGCGGCTCATGTTTATTATTTATTTTATTTTTTTCTCGATGTTCGATAGTTATTTTATTATTAGATTGCAATACTTCAAATGTACCTTGTTAGCTATATTGAAATAACGTTAAAGATATTTTTGTTTTGATTTGTTAAGTATCCTTGAAGCCGCTATGTCACTAATAGATGCTAATACTTTTGCTACGTCAAAAGAATATTAAAAAGCTAAGTTTCAGTTTCTGCAACGAGATCTAAATTTGTTGGGGCTTTTTAAATTATTTTTCATCTGTATTATTAATAATAACTTGTTGTATTATATAAGCACTTGAACAATTCATATTTTTCTATTATAATAAGATTGATGATCACAGTAAGACTCATCACATAGGATACACACGTATCGAAATAAAAAAAGGTGCATATTTCCTTTTTATAAAAACTAAAAGTATTAAGTAATTGAAATAACATATTTAAGATAGATGTTACTCGTGATGTTAAGCTACTTTTTCACTAAAATTAACTTGCCCGAAGTGCTTTATATCTTGATTACATAAATATATATATATATATATATATATTATGCATTCAACATTTCTCTAATACAGTTGCTTTATTGGTAGGCTAAAACATACTTATTGAAGATTAAATGATTTTAATATCAGGTAGAATATATATATATATATATATATATATATATATATATATATATATATATATATATATATTTGAACTTAATAATTAACTTAGGAATTAATTTGACATAGTAAATTTTTATGAATGTGACCCAGGAATATATCAGCGCAGTACGGACCAATGGATACCTTTTAAGGGTGAAACCTTTGTTGACTTAATAGATGGTAATGTAAACCTAACATACTTGAAACTGGCTCTAGTGATGATCGAAACCTAATAAAATAGCTAATAAATAAAATGTTGGTGAATAATGGCCTAATTTATATAACAAATAAAACCTCAAGACACCAATTTTAGGAATAATGAACAGAATAAATTTTTATGTTTTTCTTAAATTTAGCTAAATATTATAATTAAAAACGAATATGTGATGTCACTGATTATGGACAGAAACAAATATGTACCCATGAAAAGAATTATATATTTTAGGTGTAAGGGTTTCAGCCCCCAAAACTCTCCTTGTATGAGCCAGTGAATTGAATGAATTCTCTGTAATTTTAATCTATATTGTAGGATTATATATAACGATATTACCTTGAACAATTTAAAAATTAATTTTTTTTATATAAGTTTGTTTATAAAAGTTATTCTCTAACCTTGTTTAGATGTCCAGTGTGTCTGTGGAGGAAGGAGAAGCAGGAGTTCGAGTCCAAGCTGAAGCTCCACATCTTGTCAGCCTCGGAAGTGGGCGGTTGAGCATCGCGGTGACAATTCATCCTCTTCCTAGTGGTAAGTAAATATCTTTATATAAAACTAAAATTTATGTTAAAATATTTAAAATTGATTGTTAGAAGAAAATTTTAAAAGTTCAATAAATACTTCCAAGAGTAGTATTAACTTGAAGAATAAGGTGTTGAGATATAATATTTGTATAGAATAGAATCTAATTTTATTCTGGGACGAAGTCCCTTTAGAATAACAAAAAAGTACAAAATTAAAGTACTATATCTGGCCTAAGTAAAAATAAACATAAAAAGAAAAGAAAATATTAGTTAAACATACTATGTACAAAATAAAAAAAATCTATATACAAAACACTTGAAACCATGCCAAGACATTTAAAACTAGGTAAAATATAATTATACACTTTTAAAAAAATAAATAAAAAATACATTACATTCTTCTTAGCAATAAACTCTGTGTTTCTGCATAAAAAAAAAAAAAATTAAAACTACTGTTCAATCTGGTAATAAGTATTTAAATGATGAAGAGAAGAATAGTTGGGGTGCTCAGTCAAAAAAGGAAGGCAAAAATAAATTATAATATTTATTTTTTACATCTGCCGACGTTTCGACCTGAAGTTCAGGCCATCATCAGGGCTAAGAAAATAACCAGATAACAAGGTATGAGAAACTTAAGTAATGATGGTAAAAAAGTTTCTCATACCTTGTTATCTGGTTATTTTCTTAGCCCTGATGATGGCCTGAACTTCAGGTCGAAACGTCGGCAGATGTAAAAAATAAATATTATAATTTATTTTTGCCTTCCTTTTTTGACTGAGCACCCCAACTATTCTTCTCTTCATTATCCAGGACAGTCAACCAATTACCAATTATTTAAATGATGAATTATATGCAACTATATCATTATGTGAATCATTTTGAATAATATGTAAATTTACATAGAAGGTTAGTGGGGGATGTCTGACTGTTTTTGGGATAGAAATTGGAATAGGAGAGTTTCAAATGTAGGTAGGGAGGGAGAATGCCAAATTTTGAAGGGAATTCCAGAATTATCGAGCAATAAACAAATTTCGGAACAAGGCAGATCTGTGAGAAGGAATGTAAAGGTCGGAAGGTTGAGATCTTGTGAAAAGGGAGTGGACTGAGGACTTGAATTGTAGAAGTTTGTAGATGTAAGGACGATGATTGTTGATGATTTGATAGAGGAATGTACCTAGGAAATATTGTCTTCGAATGGAGGGGAAGAGCCACTTTAACTCAGTGTAGTGGTGAGACGTTTGTGAGTATCTCGGGGCACCAATTACAAATCTTACGCAGCAAGATGTATATGGAGGGTTAAATGGATAAAAGTGTTAATAACATTTTTCGAGTTTGGAGAAAACTTATTTTAAATTACAAGGATAAAAAATAATGAGGATGTGCAGTGAATAAGTACATCTTCATTATTTTCCATCATTAAAATTTCAACAGTCAACTGTTGAACTATATATCTGTCTGTAGATTCAAATTACTTTATCTACATTAAGCCAAATGTGTATCACCAATGGGCACCACCATGTCACCTCAGCCATGAACCCAATATTGAAGTTATATTGGGAGGATAGAAGAAATATTAAAAATATACCTTTATACTAGATAGCTAAGCAGGCTAAGAGACTTGTGATAGATAATCGAAGTTAAGCAACCTTGAGCTTGGTTAATATTATATAAGGTAAGAATGGGTGACCTATAAGCAACACTTTCCCAAATATGTGAGACCTGTCATTTTAGTAGAGGCAACTCACACCAACCAGAAGTACTAATCATAACATATCTTGTGTACTTTAATCTGGATTTCTGATGTGGTTTTCCTGGATGTGAATAGCACTTAGAGGATTTGTCCATGACCAGTCTGTTTAAAGGAAAGAAATATAGGTCTTGCTCTTTCTAAGTAGCTTTAATCCATGGATCTAGACTGATTTGTCACTGTCCTTAAACTTGAGTGAGTCGGACATTGTTGGATTGGTATCAAAAGGTTCAGACTATGAAGCAAGGAGTGGCCTGCCGCTACACCATAGACACCATGGTCCATGGCTTTCGAAAATAATATACCTCTTTAAATGAAGGGAGAGGGAGGGAAATTAAGTAATAATTCTATTTTTCCCAAAACATCACTGATCATCTTTCTCCACTTGACTGTTCATATGTTAGAAAATAGCTTAAAATCAATTTTTATAATTTAATTAATAATATTTGTTAGGATTTTATTTATAAAATTGTTTTTGTGCTTGATAGCAGTAATTTATTGAACTGTAATTGATTAATTATTATAAACCTGTTAATATCTCATTCTTACTAATAAAATTTGTAAACTATTAATATAAAAGTTTCTAAAAAGCAGTAAAGTCAATAAAAGAAAAGTATTTTTGTTTCAGATAAATAAATATCATCCCTGACTACATCCATTGCTCAAATACCCTCCTCACCTTTAAATCCTGCCTGTTCAATCACCACTTATCCTTTCAGTCCTCATAAAATTGTAAATATATGTATAAATAATTAGTTTATATATTATCACTTTTGTTTCATTTTTGAAGTTAAAACTTTTTTAGGCCCGTTTTGAATTTTTTTCGTGGAGTGTGAATTAAATTGAGCCAACAGATCTCTGATGTGTAACGCTCAGGTAAAGTCGGCTGGAGTCGACTAATTAAAGGGTTTTTACATATGGATTAAAATATCTTAAAAACTAAAAATCGGACGTGCATATTGGTAGCGAGGAAAATGTTCATCATTTCATTCTCTTAATGAAGCCAATAAGCCATTATTCAAAATTGTATCTTAACTCGACACCACGTTAGATAGGCGAAAATGAAAAAAATAGTGTCGATAACCAAATGATAATGAGTTTTATTAAAGATATGGATTTAAATATCTCATAAACTAAAAACCATTCCTGCCTACTGTAACTGAGGGAATCTTTCATTACATATTATTAAAATGTTTTGTTGATGTTTTCACTTCTATCGTGTAGTCTAAAGCACACACCTTAGCTGTTTTTTTTTCGTAATTGAAGTTTGAAGGTAAATAATAATCTTTTCTTTTATTTGTTCATTAAATCAATCTGCTTATTTTATGATTATTCTCTGAGGCTCCAAAGCCCACATCTCCATCTCTGTACATTATTCTAAAGGGACTAGTCTCACAACAAATAAAGTATTATTATTATTATTAAATAACATATGAAAGAATGAGCATATAAATGTTCAATACAAATTTTATAACCACCTAATCATAAAAAATTGGTTTAATGTATAATAATTTTAAATTTTCCAACTATTTACAGGATAATCAATGGTTTATTTTAAAATTTTTTGTCACAATATAATTTAAGAAAAAAAATTCTATTACAAAGAATATTAAATTTAAAAACAAAGATTTGTTTTATAAGTAAATACACTTTACAGTATTTACATTGGAAAAAAAAAAAAAGAAGAAGAAGAAAGAAATGTGGAGCAAGGGTAAAATGTTATCTTACTTTAGAATCTCGATGTTTTGCCAAAAGCAATATTTTTTTAATTTTAGAATCGTTATTAATACAACGTGCCGAAAATAGTTGCTTCCTCTGACTGTCTCTCCGAACTTCCACTTCATAAATAGTTGTGAATCAACACTACTGCATTTTATTTACATTTTTTCTACCTCCGTTTCTTGTTTGGAATTTATGATTTCATTATTCAAGTCTTATTGTATGTTATAAAATATAAGAATATATTTTATCTAAAATTAATTAATTTACTACAAATTAAAAATAATGATAACAAAATTACTGTTAAGTTATTATTATAGAAAATTATAGAAGTTTCTAAACTTGCATGTTCTTTCTTGAAGTTATAAATTTGAATGTTTATAAAGATTCTTTGGTTTAATTGTTTAAATATGAATAAGACCCAAGTATATAAAAATGATGTAGAGATGGTTGAGGTCTTTATCAGGGCTATAAAAGATACAAAATGTAAAAGGTACACGGTAAAAATAAAATAAATAAATTATAAGTAGATATTAAATAAATAACAGTTGTCTAATAAAGAAATAACAGGATGACATCAGAGATATAGTGGGTGACAGTGTAGTTAAAATATCAAGTATTTTATATATATATATATATATACATATAGAGAGAGAGAGAGAAATATATATATTATATATATAAATATATTCAATATATATTACATATATATACATAAATTCTATATATATAATACTTGATATTTTAACTATGCTATCATCCACTATATCTCTGATGTCATCTTATTATTTTTTTATCAGACAACTGTTTCTTATTTAATATCTACTTATAATTCATTTATTTTATTTTCACCATGTACCTTTTATATTTTGTATCTTTTATAGTCCTGATAAAGACCTGCAAGGTTGATCGAAATGTCAGCGAAACAATTAGAAATACTATTTTTTAAAAATTTAGTTTTTATTTAACCGCACCCACGACCAACTCCTTCTTACATATAAAAATGGTTCATTAGAAAAAATAAGATTTGAAAACATGTATCAGTGAAAACAATTCTTCCATTTATAAAGCATTTCTTCAGTTATTCATTCCTGTTTTGTATATTCATCAATATTTCAGTGTATTTCCCCTATTTTATATTTCCTAGGACAGTGTCAAGATCTTCAGTACCATCTCTTGTACTTTCTTGTATCAACCGTTTCAAAGAAATGATTATTGGAGTCACTATTACTTTTATATATTATATATTTGTGTTTCTGGCCATTTTTTTTTTAGTTTGTATATAATTTAAGTGTCTGGAGGATTTATGAAACATCATGTGGTCTTTAATAATTTTTTCATACCATTAAACATCACAGTGTTCAATAAGTTTTTGTTTTGTATAGCGATAACTAGCTGACTCATTTTTCTTCCAGTAATCTTAAGGTTTTTTGTATACTTTAATGATTTCAAGTTGTCTGTACCAGCCAAAGTTTTGCATCACATACTGGTTATACTCGTTTATCTTTGTTTAAATTATTATTATTATTATTATGTATTTAATTTAATATATAGTCAAAATAATATTGTAATAAGAAATTACTTTTTCCAGGAACAACTGTCCTAGGGAGTGGAAAACATGTTGACATTGTTGTAAATGGCCTCGGGGTAGACGAGCAGCACTGTTACATCGAGAACAATCGAGGCATCCTTACTCTCCATTCGAAATCTCCACGGACCACGATAGATGGTCTTCCTGTTACCCAGCCAACTCGGTTATCACAAGGTAATAATTTTATTTTTATTATATATCGACCATTGTTGAACATATGGTAAATTTAAAAGAAAAGATGATTACAATGGCATTTCCCAAAGATGTTTTTTCGTTAATTATTCATCAAATTCGATGATTCATTCATTAGTTTGAAGATTTTCTTGTCTTTCAGGTGGAAAAATAGTTTCTCTCCCTTTCCCCAAAATATCAGGAAAACATTTTATGAAGAAAAATAAATTTATTTGCACCTAATTAAGAAAGTATATAGAAAAGAATAGTTGGGGTGATCAGTCAAATAAGAAGGCACAATAAATGATAATATTTATTTAGACATTTGCCGACATTTCGACTTGAAGTTCAGCGCTGATGAAGGTCTGAACTTCAGGTCGAAACGTCGGCAAATATCAAAATAAATATTATCATTTATTTTGCCTTCTTATTTGACTGATCACCCCAACTATTCTTCTCTTCATTATTCATGACAGTCAATCATTTACCCACAATTAAGAAAGTATATAATTTATGGTTTATTATACCCATGATTGTTCGACATAATACTAAATGCCCTAAAAAAGCTACAAAAAAAATTGAAATTGATTAGAAATTTGTCCAATTAGTTGTTATTATGTTCTTATGATTTTTTTTTTTTTTTATAAAGGGTCATGAACTAGAGGGTCTAGGTGACCAACAACCAATTTTCACATTCTCGCTCTCTTTAAATAATAATGTAAAGCTTCTTTAGGCTCCTCAGTTTTCTCCTATTCCTACACCACTTTTTCAATCAAGTTAACTAAACCAAATGTTTTATTTAATTCTTTAAATATTATTATTATTATTTATTGAATATTTGATTTGCATAGTTTTAATAATAACTTTTTTTTCTAGGGTCAATTATAGGCCTCGGACATTCAAGTTACTTCAGGTTCAACCATCCAGACCAAGCCAGGTTGATGAAGAAGACACTTCCAGATCCTAAGAATTCAATGCTTCCATTAACATTTTATCAAGGTATCACTAAATATAAAATTTATGGATGAAATTTAAAGTATTTTCCTTGGTTAAAAATTAATGATTACCAGAGCAAAAAAGTTGCTGGTAAAATTATTAAAGTGATAAATCAATAACACAAATCAAGACATGTTTCAAAAATGTTAATCATCCGATATTAAGATATTTTTAAATATTTCTTTTAGGTGCTTGTGTTGAAATGGATGGTAATTCACCTTATCATCACCAAGAATCTCGTTCAAGAGATACATGCTCAGGCATCAACAATTTTGTGAAAATGAGTGAGTTTTTTAAATTAACATATTTGTTACTTGTAAAATTATTTATTTATTTTTTATTGTTGCCTCTACCCTGCAGGGTCATTGGCAACACCTTCAATTAAATAATTATATTTGAAGGAAGCTAGTAGACTGTTATGCATATCATGATTAATAAATAGGCAGGACGCAGTCATTATAAAATTTTTTTTTTATTTGTGCCAATGTTTCTACCCAAACATGGGGATTATCATCAGGGCGTGATTTGAACACTGAAGTACTGGAGTACTTGAAAGCATTCAGTGCTTGATTTTTCACCCATTAAATAATAATAATAATAGTCTTTATTTATGTACATATATAAATTTGTAATAACAGTATTTACATTTCTATTTACACCTACTTTTTCTCTATATACATGTATATAGACCTTCTTTTAAGGACTATTAAAGTCTTTCATTCACTTATCTTCATTCTCCAGTATTTTCTGTACTTTGCTTTTCGTGACCACAGTGTTTCTTCTACCTTCTGTATCTGGTCTACCCATCTTCTTCTTTGTCCGCCTCTGTTCCTTTTCATATCCAAGGGGATCCATTCTGTTAGTTTCTTGGCCCAGTTTTCATCGTTCTTCCTCTTTAGATGTCCAGTCCATTGCCATTTCATCTTCTTGACTTGCCTGATTACATCTTTGACCCCAGTATCTTACATCGCTTGGTTATGTCTATGATTATACAGAATATTACTAAATTCCCTACAAAAGGAAAAAAAAATCATAGAAATCGGACTATTTTTAACACAGATTCAGTTTATTGAAATTTGTAAACATGTTGATTCCAAACATTAACGAAATTTTAATTTAATTTTTGTTTCCTTTGTCGCATATTTAGCGAATAAGTAACAATTGATTTCATTTATGATGTGTTTCATTGTTATATTTTCTTATTAATTTAGTATTTGATCAATGAAGAATAAACTGTGCGAATTTTCGCACGGGCCAACTAGGTAGGATGTAATAAAATAACTAACTGATATTTTTGCGAAATGTTTTTTGAGCTTTTGAGTTTTCATTTCTTAATTAAAATACAAGACACTACATTCCTCTACATCACTATTTAATATAGGTATATATAGGTGTATATATATAATATAGGGTACATAGCTTATAAATCTTAATTTCACAAAAACTTCTTTGTTCAATCTTGTTTTGATGAATTATGCATTATCTGAGAAAGATGGCGGTTTCTTATAATTATGTAACAGTTTTTATATTTAACTAATATATTAGCTTAATAAGTTGATTACATTTAAAATTTATAATATCGAGGAAAATACTTTATTTTATCCTTATACATTTATTCAATGCTTTAATTCATTCTAATTTATTGGCGAAGTTTCAGACAATTTTGCTAATTTTCAAGTCGAATAATTATATACCATTATTATTTATTCTATATGATCATAATTTTATAAAATAATTGCAAAATTTATATCCTCAAAATTATAAAATTCATAATTTATTTGTGAATAGTCAATTCTAAAAACAACTGTGGACAATCAAAAATTTAAAATTACTCTAATGCTACACCTTTAAAAACAACAGCGTAATCTATATCATTAGGCTGTTTTTTTTGTTTTTTTTAAGGTGACGAAAATATGTAGTGTTGAAGTAATTTTTAATTATTTTCATGACTATTTATGAATTTTACAATTTTGAAGGATTGATTTCGAGGAGATAAATTTTGCAATAATTATATAGAATTATGATTATATGAATTATATAATAATGCTATGTAATTATACAACTTAAAATGGGCAAAATTGACTGAAACGTCGTCAAGAAATTTGAATGAATTTAAAGCATTGAATAAATGTATAATATTATAAATTTTATTATTCTTAGAAAATTTTGAAGATTTAATGAAAAATTAATTAAAGTTATAGATAACATTATTATAAGTATGAATTTATAATCATTTTTTTATTTTGTTTAAAACACTCACCCTGCCTGGAAGAAGTAATGTGTTGTTTTAAAAGTGGTAACTTGATATATCTTAGTGTTTTTAATTAAATTTAAAACTTAATATAAATATTTTCATATGGGAAAACATAACCATTTCAGGTCCTAAAAATGGTGAGATTATGAATGGTGAATTAAGCCCGAGTAATTGGAGACCCAATGTTTCAAGTCCGTCTCACAACAAAGATTCGACTCCATTCACTCCTTTCAAACCTCCTCCCCATTCTTCATCACCCTCACACAACAAACAGGTTGGTATCTTTAAAGTAGTTTCTTAATTTTTTATTTATTTACTTATTCATAAGATATGGATTCATACTATATTTTATAAAATTAATTATTACTCATTATTAAAAATCTAATTGATTAAAACAGTTCCTATTTTAAAGTAACAAACCAAAAAGAAAAACAAATTTAAATGTTTGTAATGTTTCTTGTAGAAATATTTTCATGATGCTGAATGAAGGATGGATTTCTGGGTTCAAAAAAAAAAAAAGTTACAAATTCTCATTTAATAATGTATTAGTGTTATTGGGAATAGCAATAAAAAATATCTGGTGTGTCCACCCACACGACTTTCCTACCTATTTCAGAAAAGATTTTATACCTTTACATATGTTCATGAAGAAACAAAAAAGAATTGAACTAGATTTATTTTCCTGAAAATTTATCAAACAAAAGATTTGAGCACACTTTATTTGATAAACTAAAGCAATGTAAACCGGCTTCAGGTAGATCAGTGTAAAAATTTCAATACTCTCTAATATTGCTGATCAAAAACTTTTTTCCATAGCTTAGTATTGTCAAACAATAATTTCTGTTAAAAGTAGAGGAAATAGTGAAGATGGTATGAGGCGTGCAACAGGTTTTCTTACTTTCACTTAGTCATCTTTATTCTCTCATTCACCCCTTTCTGACACCAGGGTATGAACCCGTAATCTTACATTGGAAATTGAATAGCTGTAACTTCGTTAATAGGTGTCCAAATTGAACGATTTTTATATCGCTTTGTAGGGAATTTCATTACCTTTCAAACGACAGGCTAAACATCGTTTTTCTAAACAGGACTCAAGGGGCTCTGAAAGGTATAGATCCAACCGCATACTGGAAATTTGCCCCGATGGCAATACTTTCCTTACCTAGTATAGGTATAGATAATAGAGAAATTAATTAAAAATTACCTACATCCGCTCAAGTTATTTTCTCTAAATCAAGTGAATTTCTCAGATAATTTATCCACCACTGGTCTGGATTGGGTAAATATCAAAACAGCTGTTATGCAGGATTTGAACGATTAACTTCAAAAACATGTCAGAACATTTTTATAACTCGTTTTGCTTTACTTTTAGAGAACTCTTCTGGTGGTTGATTTATGAAACAGAGGTGTTTAGAGTTTATGCTACGTAAAAGACAGCTCAGGATTTGGATTTAACGAAGAAATTACTCATTTATCTCGAAAACGTACTTCCCCTCATGCTCAGCACATCAAGAAAATTCAATATTCAAATTGACAGATATACTCAGTAGAATATAAATTTATTTGTCTTTAGGGAAGTTTCCCATGTGAATAGTCTGCCTTAGTTACAAACTGTAAATATTAATGGTGTTGACAATGCATGGATATCAAAATATCATTATTTAAATGGGCAAAAGCAAAACAGTTCAGTCCCTTTTTATCTTCTGTTTATCAACTGATTTTCTTTTTTTATTTATAGCTAATGGCGAGCTTTAGTTTTATCAGTAAAAAATTATTGGAAACAGTGTATATAAATAAAAATGCAAATGTTTGTTTGTTCAAAACCACTAATCTCTGAAAGTTCTTTACCAATTAATTTGGAATTTCAACAACGTTGCAATCAAATTCAAAAGTGCTTTTACATAGATATTATTATTATTGGGTCTTTTGTTTCAATATGGCAGTCTAAAACACTATAGATTATAGCTCCAAAATGGCTGTAACTTTTAATGAGAAATGGCTAAAGTCTTCTCCTTGAAGCCCTTTTAATTTATGTATACAACATACTTCCCCGAAAAGAGGCTGAAAAAAAGTAATGATGGATTCAGAATTCGCGAATAACTCAAAAAGTACACAATTTTTAGTTCATTAAACCTATGAGTATTTGAAAGCTTTCTGAATTCTCTAAAAAATGACAAAAAAAATAACATCATCGTAGCCGATATTTTTATTGCATTTTTTTAACATTATTTTTGGTTTATATTTTTTAGGAGAGCTCTATTATAAAAATTTTATATTAGGTATATTGCATTGATTGTGGTGTTTTGTGCTTTGATGATGGTATAGAGATGAATTGGTTGAGAGAGAATTCTCAATTAAAGGGCTACTGTTCGGAAGCAAGAGAAACATTCCTCTTAATTTAAGTGATTTCTTGCAGAGGCTCGGTGTTGGAAGGGAACAGATACAGACCATGATAGAACCTATTATTTTAGACTCGTTACAAATCCTCCATCACCTCATGAATTGATCTAGGCTTTCACTTATTTGATTCTATAAACCGTTCTTGGCATATCTGATATGTATTCCAATGGTCCGACCTGACTCACTCTTATTTTTTTTTACAGTATTATCTATTGATTGATGAGTATGCTGTTTTATTAAGCAACTCAGCATAGTTGAACAGTCGTGCAATTTTGTTATATTCCTCTCTATGAGTACATTGAAGTAAAATAATGATTATATCCGAATTTCAACCAATGGGCGATCACCAGTTAAAATAAATATATAATATTTTATATTGAATAAAGATTTCAGTATAGTTGAGTTAAAAGCAAAGAATTAAAATAAACAAGGAATATATGGTCAGATGAACAGTAAAAGGTTTTCATTTGTAAGTTTCGCGATTCAGTTCAGTTGTTTTCAATAACCATTTACATCTAATAATATTACGTATACATTTATATGAAACAAAAATAAGTAATCACTATTTACAATCACCTCAGTATAATAAATTCTATACCTTTATTTTGTTTTTTCAGAACAAATCTGATAAAAATGCTAAGAATTGTGACATCGAAGAATTAGACCTCGATGAGATTCTGGCCATTTGTTCAGAGTACCAGAGAGAAAACCAAATAGAGAGGAGTACTAAACCCGTTCAAAACCGGATAAAAACCAATGGCTCTTTACCGAGAGAGAAGAGATTAAACTCGCCCACGTCACCAACCCATCAGCACAGTTTCTCATTTGATACAAGGTAGGTGGTAATCAAATTAGAGTTATTTTGAAATGTTGACATAATTTTTATTTTCTGATTAATTAATAACCTTATTTCTCAAATTTATTTTATTTTGATAAATTATTCTATATTAGGAAGAATAAATGTGGTTGCTTTTTAGGTTGCTAATGTTTCCTTCTTATCTTGTATATTAATTTATTTTTTCTTTAATATGGTAATTATATTACTAAGATCTCTACCTTTGATTATCTTTATCTGGTTATTCTCCATATTTAAAAAAAATTATTAATAAAAACTATAAAATTAAAACAAATTGTTTATTTGAGTTGTGATCTGATTGTCATGAACTAATTTTGAAAGAATAAGGCCACACATAGTTGAGCACCAAAATATAACATTTCTTATATTTTACAAATAATAATAACAATATGACCTCATGGAAGCTCACTTTATACCGTTGGGATACTTCCAAATAAATAAGAGGTTATTGAATAATAAATAAAATTATAAGAGTATTAATATATTTATTTATCTCAGGTGTGGGTTACTGACTATCAGATCAAAACACTCAGACAAACTAAAATTAACTATATTAAACACTGTTTGATTTTAAAATAAAGTCAAATGTGGATTGGCAAGCTAACTTTTTTTCAATATACACTGTTTCTTCGTTTGCTGTACTAAATGCATTTGTCTTCAAATGTTTTCCAATGTTCTGCCAAACATAACTTCCAAATTTGTGACACTCTCTCTTGTAATTCCAAACAACTAGTCTCTCTGGCAAACAACAAAACAACTTCTATGATGGTGAAACTATTACTGGGTTTTACCCACTGGAGCCAGGATCATTTCTCCTATCCTCCCTTCACTGCAGTCACACAACAACTACTCGCCAATACAAAAATCTTCATCCCTCTCCTCTTTGGGATTTTCCTTCTTGGGAAACTACAGAGCAGCCATTTTCTTCTCTCTGTACTATTAGAACTAGATTAGCTTGTCTTTTAACTTTTGAACATTATTTTATTAAACCCTTTTTACTCACTTCCAATAAAGTTGTACATTAGAATTTACATTACAATATTTTATTTATTGAAGGAAGTTAATCGACTGTTCAAGGTGTAAAAGTACTCACTTCAGTACTTAAACACTTTTACTGTTGATAACATGCCCTGCTTATGACCCACAAGCTTAGGTTGAAACACTACCAGTAAACATCTTAAAAAACTTCCTCCGTCTTCAATGAACTTGTTTATTTCTAGATGAGAAAATTTTTAAACAATTTTGAATTGCTATATTGGTAATTACCAAAGGATCAAATCAAGGCCCAAAATTGTATTTAATGTTATTTTTAACATAGCTTGCTGGTTCAAAAAAAAAACAACAACAAAAAATTATAATAATGTTGTGAAACATATATTATGGTAAAATCTTATTTCGTTAATTTTAAGTAGAATCAATTTCTTAAATTTAGTTCTTCCGAACCAAATTACTCATCATAACTGATGATATCAGATAGAATTGTTTTTAAACATAATTTATTATTTTGTTCTCTTATGAGATATGTAGAATATTTTTATCAATTACGTTTTATAATTTTCTTAAAATTACAAAATAGTTCTCGATAATACCTCCATTAGTGAACCCATAGATCGTAAAATAGGTAGTAAAATGACATAAAGGTCAGAAAGGTTAATGGTTGGAATTATCCGAGATGTCATGATAACCCTAATAAACTCAGAATATATTAGACAGTTCTGTTTGTGTTTAAATGCAGGCAGCATCACAAGTGCCTATAAGTAATATTTTATACTTATTAACATTAAATAATTATAATTATTGTATATAATAGTATATTCTTATTTCTAATTAATTATATTTTATTTATTAATTAATTTTTTTAAATATATATATATATATATATATATATATATATATATATATATATATATATATATATATATATATTTATTTAACTTTGAGATTTTACTATAAAAAAATATTTTGTATATCAAATAAAATTTCTATACATTGAAACAAGTGTCATTTAAAAATATAATGGTTGTTTAATCAACTAATGGTATATTATATTTTATTTATTAATAATAGTTTATTATTATATGGTAATTATAATATATTATTGCAATCAAACTTCTATACATAGATTATTTTAAATTTTATTATTTATTTAACTTTGAGATTTTACTATAAAAAAATATTTTGTATATCAAATAAAATTTCTATACGTTAAAACAAATGTCATTTAAAAATATAATGGTTGTTTAATCAACTAATGGTATATTATATTTTATTTATTAATTATAGTTTATTATTACATGGTTATTATAGTATATTATTGCAATCAAACTTCTATATATCGATTTTTTAAAATTTTATTATTTATTCAACTTTGATATTTTACTATAACAAATATTGTAGTATATTGTTGGTTTATTGCAAAAAATCATTAAGTAACACTTCATTACCTCTAAAAACTAAGATTTTTAATGAATTTTCTCTTTGTAAAATCAGAAAACAGTGCACTTTGTGTAATTGTGTATGATAAACAAAAGAGTTTGCGTTTTTTTCTTGCACTTACAATATTTTTATATAGATAAATGAGATCTAAATTCATAAAAAAATATGAGAAAGTTTAGATAAATAAGACCTAAATTCAGAAAAAAATATTTGAAAGTTAACATGTATCAAAAATGCACTTATTGAAATAAACCGACAATATATCAAATGCAATTTCTATGTATTGAAAAGTATTTAAAAATATGATGGTCATTTACTGGTACAGTATTATTTTATTTATTAATTATGGTTTATTATTATTTAGTAATTATTGTATGTTATTACAATAAAACCTCTGTATATCGAACTTCTATATATATCAAATTATTTCTATTATTTTTTAAACCTTGAGATTTTACTATAAATAATATTGTTTGTATTTCTATGAGTGGCAGAATGGGCTAACGCGTGTGCACAGCACCCGCTGATTAATAAAATATGCCGAGATTAATCAAAAGAATGAGTTTGCGTTCCAGTGCCGGAGGGGATTTTAGATTTCCCCTCCTTACCCTCCTGCCCGGGAAAATCACATATAGCCTAAAAGGCAAGGTAGGGAAGAACAATAAAAAAAACAAAAACATATGAATCTGATATTATCTATGGAATTGTTTATGTCAACAAATATTTTTCTAAAAATCAATTTATTATTATTTTTTTTTCAGTGACTTGATGTATGGAGGTGAAAAAGATCGATCAAAAGATAATAAAAAATCTCTCCATACATATGAAAATGTAACGTTTGTTCCTGGTAGCCCGAGACCAAGGATTAAAACTTTTCTAAACAAAGATAGTAGTCCAACTAATGTGTAAGTACTTATTTAATTATATTACTAATTTATTTAATATTACAATTATTTGAAAGTTTTACTTGGTCCATGAAATATGCAATAAGAACCAACCGAAATTTTTGTGGCATTTTGTATTATAAATTATATAAACAAATTAAAAAAAAAAGAAAAGAAAATATGGTAGAGATGTATTATTGAAAATGAGTATCGATGTATATTGTATGAATAGTTTTAAAATACATCAAGATAGTAATTCGATAAATAAAAAAAATTGATATTTTGGGCTTCAATGTTTTTAATAAATAAAAAAAAAAAAATTAAATTTCTTAAATATAAAAAGAACGTGAAAGGTCAAATTTTGAAGGGAGTTAACTTTTTTTCTTGGTCGATTACAAAGGCTGATTGAAAATAATAAACTAAAAATAATTAAAAAACACGATATCTTTACTAGTAGTGCTCTAATTTTGGTGAATCTTTTTTAGGAAATTTAAATATCTTTGAAAAATCTCATTATAAAAATCACAAAAAAGTGTATACTTTTTGAGTTATTCGAAAATATAATTTTACTATCTTTCTTAACTTTTTTTAAATGTTTTTTTTTGGTGAAGTATATTATATAAAAAAATTTAAAGAGTTTTGGAAGAGGAGACTTAAGCCTAGTTTCATCAAAATTAAAAAAGGACTGAATAAAATCAATAGTGAATGAATAACTAAAAAATGAAAATTAAATATTGATGAATTAAAAAAAATGATTATAATCAAAATTGAATTAATACTGACTAAACTTATTTTAGCGTAACTATTTATATTTCAATATTTTTCCAACATTAAAAAAATTAAAAACAATTGAATATCGTCCCCAATGACTTAATATTTATTCTTCAATTATAGTGAGGTCAGGCATCATCAGTACAACAAAATTTATATTCTTAATCAATAGGCAATAATAAATATCATTTTGAATCATAATTAAAAGTAATTTTTAATTTTTTTCTCACCAATTGTATGTATTAAATTTTAATTATATTTTTAGTAGTAACCCTCCTGATGGTCATGGTGGCAACCGAAGTGGCCTACATTTAAATCTAGAACCAGTCATCCTACGCAACAAGTCATCCTCATCGACGTTCAATGAGTTATCTGAACAAAATCAGTCAATATCATCGATGACCAGTAATCTCGATGGTGTAAAAGAACGAGACAGAGCCAGTGGAGAGTACCAAGACAAAGGAAGGCCACCTTCAATCGCTGATATGACTGCAGAAAAAAAATACAACTTTTTAGGCTTTGATCCGAGGAAGGATACTCCTCCCGATCAAACTCCTCAAAAAGATACCACTGACCACCGCTCTGGAAACTTCACTCCTTCTCAGATTCCACAATCCCCTCCATCCTGGACCAATCCCACTCTCAATTGTGAAAACTTTCCTGATTACGATATAGTGAATGGTGCCGACGATGAGGACTGTAAGAGTAGTAAAAGATTGAGCAATCAACTGTCGACAGGAACTACCAGGAGCTCGATTAGTGCTATAGAGAGTTTGAAAATGGAACGGGAAACGTTATTGAAAAATCTTTCATCTTTAAAAGAGAAAATAACTGAACTAGAACAGCAAGAAGAGGAATTAATCAGAGAGGTATTTTTAAAAAAAATATTATTTATATAAGTCATTGTAGTCATATTGATATATTCATTCATTGTCAGTCAAACATAAACAGCATTATTCTAAATTAAGGCCGTTATTCACCAACATTTTATTTATTTTTCATTTTATCTAGACAACGTTTTAGCCAATACTTGGACCATTTTCAAGTCTTACTTGAGTTCTCCACTAAATCTCCGTATTGGATGTCATTTTCATTTTTCCGAGAACAAATTAACTCATCCAATATGGAGATTTAGTGGAGAACTCAAGTAGGACTTCAAAAGACAGCGGGGGCCGAGTGAGTTAATGTGTGTGCACAGCACTGAGCGTTGCCCGCCATCCTGATAGATTTAAATGATTGATAGAAGTTAGATGGAAAAATATTACGAACTCAAATCCCGGTACCCGGTGGGAATTTTAACGTGGCATAATTCCCCTGCCCTCTTCCCCAGATCGGGAAAACCCTGTGTAGCCTAAAAGGCAAGGAAGGAGAGAAAAAAAAAATTAATACGACATGAAAATGGCCCTAGTATTGGCCGAAACGTCTTGATAAAAGGAAAAATAAATAAAATGTTGGTGAATAACGTTCCTTAATTTATATAAATGAAAACATCAAGACACCAAACCTAGGTATAATGAACATAATATAAATAGCATTATTGAAGAGAAGAATGGTTGGGTTGATCAGTCAAAATAAAAAATTGTAAAAATATATTTATTTTTATTTAGACTGATCATCCCAACCTTCTTTCTCTTCAATTATTCACTACAGTCAACCATAAATTCGCAATTATAAATAGCATTAATTTGTTTACAGTTCTTAGGATTCATGCATTTGACGAAACAGTTTTTTTTTTTCTTTTATACAGCTTATTAAAAATATTTAGTTTAAAATGTATTTTATTAGTTTTTATAAACGAATATTTATGAAATAGAGCTGGAAGAGATTTAGGAGTATCGCGTTCGGCAGCCATACATATTACAATGAACTTAAACCACACCTCCATACCCATCTCATTTCCGTGACAAACAGTTATTTCAAGTTTTTAGCTAAATTTGAACCTTTTTTTATTATTTAAAAAGTGTAATCTCATGTTCTTTATAACTTGAATTCTATTGCAAAAGCAATTTATGTGATTTTTTTTACATGTAAGTACCCGATTCCGTGTACAGTATGTATGTTCATAACGAAACGCATAAATATTTACTTATTATATATGTTCATTTCGAAATGCATATATACACATACTTATTGTGTATGTTTTCACTCTTAAAATGTATATAAGGAAAATCTATCGAAAAATAGTCATCTACTCACTCTTTCAATTATTACTTATAAAACTTTTTTTATCTCTTTCACAGTCTGCCATTGAAGAAGCACTTGTTAGTGGAGAAATAGCAGCTCAAGATGAAAAATTAAAACATGAAGAAAGTAGAGTCGCTATTTTAAAAGAGAAAGCCAAAGAATGCGATATTGAAATGGAAAAATGTCTGCAACGTCAGGCTCAAGGGCAAGAAAACTTCCAAGTTATCAGCGAAAGGCATATGGCAATGATAGACATGTAATATCAATATTTATTTTTATGTATGTTATAAATATTTTATTAAGTTTCATTATAAAAATGATTGTTTCAGTTTGGAAAATAAGTTATCGACATGTGAAAATGAAGAATTGAAAATTCATCTGAAAGAAGCGTTGAAAGAACAGCAGGAACTGTTGGATTCTGAAAGAAAGGTTAGTTATAATTTTTTTATTACTATTATTCTTGTAATTTTAAATAATTAAAGGGCACAATAGGTCCTCATGGTCGCTGTGCTTCTAACTGTTCTAAACTAATTGCTGATTAAGTCTTACAGACGGCACTACAGCCGAAACGTTACCAGTGTAATAAGAAAATAAAAATGGTGAAATGAACATAGCCTAAATCTTGGATAAAGAAGAGGTTTGATGGTTTAGTGGAGCCCTGGAGCTCAATTTCCAAATTGGCCATATTATAGTCATGTAAATGAATCTTGTGTACTTTATTGGATGTTTAGAGCGTTTTATCTAGTAAATGCTGAAGTAGCCGGAAACATTGAATGTTTTCTTGTCTTGTATTAGGATTCCAAGCTAGACGTTTTGCCAGTTGGAGCCTTAGGTGTTGGATTTGTTTAACCGGGATAAGTGGTATATTATTAAAGAATACTGTAGGACAGGAAGTTGTGGTTCATGACAAGGACTAAAGGTGATTTGATGGAATTTATTTTAATCCTTCAGTTTTGGCATTATTCTTCAAGGTTCGTGATGTGTGATTATGGTTGATTTTAAAAAAAAAGTGATAATAATAATTTGATCTAAAATAGTACTAAGCTTTAAGAGGCACAATATACTGAGGCCCAACATGAAATTTTGGTTGAGATTCCTTTGTCTCATGGAGAGGTACGGAAAATTACATATAACTAAAGATCAAGGGGTTCATTCTTGATTCCATTTTCCAATTTAATTAAATTAAGCTGAGAATGATTTTCTCAGAATTAACTGGATCCATTAATATTCAAGGAAGCGCTAGGATCTTTATCAATTTTTATGCCAATGTTTCAGGCAATATTTTTCCCATTCATCAAAACTTTTATTGTATGAACATCAATTTTGTCTCCTGTATTTCCGTTGTTCTTGTTACAATACTTTAAAAAACATAAGTTATAACTTTGTTTTTATAAGTTCCAGATTTTCTCAAATAATATCTAAGTGTTCTCTTTTGTCCTCATGTTACTTTGTATATCCCTACATTTTTTACTTTATGTAAGAATTTAATTAAAACCAATTGAAACATCTAATCATAAATAATTATTAAAATGATTTTTTTCTTGTTATTTTATCTTGTGATGTATCATCAGTTTTTTTAAGGACTTTTGTGATTAGTTTTATGATATTTTGATCCTCTGAAGTGCTTGGTTTCAAGTCCCTGCAGTGCTCTTTCCAAATAAAGCTTATGTGATTTATTTTTATCAAGTTTTTGTTGTATTGATTCAGTTGTTTTTATTTATTATTATCTAGAATTTCTTTTTTTAACGTATACTTCAGATAAGATTATACTTTATGAAAGATAAAACAAAGTTGTTTATTAAGTACTTTTATTTGTGTATATGTGCACGACCACAAGTGAGACTAATGTTCTTAAAATCCTTGCAAAAATAAGAAAAATTCAAATCCAGGTATTGAGTACAAAATAAGACCAGTTTATTTGTTCTTGAATTAATAGTAAATCTGATATTTTCTACCATAAAAAGTTGTTTATTTATGGATTTAATAAATTCTGCTTTCTTTAATTATTTATTTATTTAATGTATTATTAATTGAATCCTTCGAATTTCAATTTTGTTGTGAACCATTGATGTCAATGACCTCTTATTCTTGCATTATTAGAGAGAAGAAGAAGAAGAAAAAGTCTTTTTATTTATCAAAATTACAAAACAAGACAAAATAATATTTTTGGATTTAAAACCGAAAATCAGACGTGCTACATGGTTGACCGTCAGAGGAGTCTGTGTTTCATAACAAAATTATATTCCAATCTATTTATATACAACTAATTAATAGGAAAATAAGAACAATTATATTTACAATGTAAAAGTTATACAAATATTTTAATTACAAAAACAGTGGTACCAAAATTCTCCAATTTATTAATTGTTAAATTCTCTGGTGAGCATTATTCTATAGGAGAAAGCAGACTTGCAGTAATTTACCAATGCTATCCAATTGTTTCCATTTAATAAATCAATTACTTGATCCCAAGATAAATTTCTAGACTTTAACCATTTAATTCTAAATTCAAAGAGTATCTGACAAGCAGCCAGGAAGTGATAGAGATCTGTTTAGTTTGTATTACACATACTACAATTATTATTTGTTTGCTGGAAGTGTTTATAATTTAAGTTCAAAACATCAGCTCTAATTTTAATTACCCATCTGATCACCTTCATTGAGCTTTTGTCATCAATATAATTTACTGGAGTTAAATGAGGATAAAGAGTGAGTCTTGCAATATTACGTTCTTATGATAGGTGATATAAGACATAGTAAATTTTATAATATTCTTGTTTTGTTTTTGAAATAAAAAATTCCTATTCTTTCGACTTCTACATATTTTAATGCCATTTATTTATTTCAAAATTAGAAAAAGCACATGTAATAGTACAAAAAAAAAAAGAGTTCAAACGACTACTTATTAACTTACATTATCAATTTATCATTGTAGTCATGTTATCTCTTAGCAAGAAATATATTATGGATTAAGTATTTTACAAAATATAAAAATGGTTTAAGATTGAGAATATCGCACTTTCCTTCCTTTTCATCAGTCTCTTAAGTGTTTGAATTTTTATGGTTCCAATTCTTTAATGGGGTTTTATTGATTATTATTTTTTTTCTTTAGTACAGAACAGCTATGGTCAATAAATGTCATTCAATCTATTTTCTTGAATTCTCCTCTTCTTAAGTCTATATCTTGTCGTTTTATCTTATCACAAGAACCTTTAATTTTATTAATTGGTTTTATAAATATGTGCAGTCTCTATTGCTAATTTTAAGTTTTTGGAGTTCTTCTTTTATTTATTTAATATAACTGCCTAAGCTTTCCATGTTGAATATATTTCAAAAATTTGTTTGTTGACTCTGGAAATATAATTGTATATTTGTTATGTATAATTTTTTTTTCAGAACCATGAAGTTTTGGAATTCCAACTAGTGGAAGAAGAGGCAAGCTGGTTGTCTAAACGAGAAGACATACAAAAAGATCTTGATGAAGCAATGGAAAGGTTAGCTTTGAGAAAGGAAAAGGTTTTGAATCTACATTCTTCTCAGAATATAACCAACGAGTTAGAAATACAAAAGCTTTCACATTTGAAGGCGATAGAAGAAGTGAGTTGTATTTTAATTATCACAGTGACAAACCATGATGATAGAAAGTATTGATGATTTCTTGTCTTATCTTGTGCTTGTTCAAATAGGGTCGGAGTCGTCTATTGATGATAAATGATGAGTTGGAAACGTTATCCAAATCTTATCCCAGTGCGGACTCTCTCATTTCTAGCAGTTCAGATGTAAGTTATCTATTTGTTAATTAATTGCTTTTAGTAATATCAATGATATTTCATAATAATTTGATTATAATCTTATTTTTTATTACAAATTAATAATCATTATATAAATATGTAAAGGCAAAAGGGTGCAGTTGCTTTTTCTTGTTTGTTTCTTGACTGATTTTTTTCTTTTAATTTATTAGTTATTGAAAAGCTTCAATGCTATCAATAAAAAATTTGGAAACAGTGTATATAAACAAAATTGTTAATATTAGTTTGTTCAAAACCGATAGTCTCCGGAAGTTCTACACCGATTGCTTTGAAATTTTGATACAACTTTGCAATGAAATTGAGGAGTATTTTCATATCCATATCATTACCATCTGGTATTTTGTTTAAAAATGGCAGCTGAAAAATGTGAGTTGCTATAGTCTGTAGTGACAAAATGGCTGTAATGATTTTTATAAGACATGGCTAATGCCTTCTCCATGAAGCCTTTTTAATTTATGTATACAACATACCTACCCAAAAGAAATACTGAAAAAAAAAGCGACGGGTTCAGAATTTTATTCGTGAATAACTCAAAAAGTATACAATTTTTATTGCATTAAATCTATAAGTATTTGAAAGATTTCTGAATCCCAAACAAAATGAAAAAAAAGGAATCATTGAAATCAAAAAGAATCATGTACGATAAGATATTTTATTACATTGTTTTCAGTTTAAATTTTTTTGAGAGTTCTATTATAACAAATTTATATTTGGCATATTGGTATGGTACAAATACAATGCCGAAATGAAAATATTTGTACCAATTGAAGGAGCAAAGTGGGCTCTAATATTTTTTTAAAGAGAAATCAAATTGATATTGGTATTTTCCACCTGAAAAAATCACTCAAATACGAAATTTCAAAGTAATCGAAAAATAAAAATTTTTGTCTCAAATTTTCACCGAATGAACAAATGAGGTCCAAATATTATTTTGACAGAAGTAATGATGGATTCAGATTTTTATTTGCCAATAACTCAAAAAGTACATAGATAGTACTGCACTGCTTTCTTTTGTAATTACATATGAAAGTGAATGTATGAATATATAAACATACAAATTCATTTGTTTTCCTCAAATGTTGAATAAAGATTGTGGTCAAATTTTGACCATTAGGCAAACACTAGTTAAATTTATTGCTTGTAGTAATACTGCAAATATTTTTAATATTTCTTCTTGTGACCTATGATTTTATTTATTTTTAAAATTTTATTTATTATTTAATAAATTTATTATTTATATTATAAATTACTATTATTATTAAATTTTGGAAAATTTAAAATAGTAAATTGTTTTAGAGAAATATTTTTTTTAGTTATTTCCGACATTTGAGAAACAAAAATAAATAAAAACTCTAAAAACGATAATATATAATTTCATTAAGTTATAGTTGGTTCTTATTTATAAATTTTATTGTTTAAAGCAGTGTATTATTAGTGTTAGAATTTAAATTTTATTGTAGAAATTGAACGGTTATTGTTTTAAAATTTATTATAGACAAAATAAAAAGGTTTTTAAGTTTAAATAAAATAAATATTGAAAAAATTAATACAATTTTGATAATGAATATTAAAAAAGTGACCATAATATCAATTTTGAAATAGCTTTCAGGCATTTATTATAAATTATTTTCTATATAATATAAATCAAATTTTTTATAATTTTTAATAAAAGTAATTTTCTATCCCATCTCAAGATATTTTAAAATATTTAACAATTATGCTAATATATACAATTATTTTGCTTCAATTTCAATTTTTATTAAATATTAATAATTAGTCCCTAGTTTCTTTAATTAATTTTTGCTATTTATAGCATTCTTACACTTTTCCTCATGATACTACTAAAGATCAATTATAATTAGGAAAAAATAATAAATTTTTGAAGTTGTGTATAAAAAAGTCCAGAAGACCACAGATAGAGAAAATTAGTTCATTGCAAAATTCATTGCATAAAAACAAATTGTTTGTTTATGACGTCGAAGGTCAAACAAATGTAAGGTTGGCTTGTTTGTTTATCTTATTTCGATACCTTATTCTTTTAGTAGCAAGGTTTGATTCTATATAGTGCATTATCTTATCTCTCAGCAAATGTATTCAGTATTCAATTAAAATTTTAAAACATTATTAATATTAATTTATTCGATAGTAAACTTATAATTATATGGTAAAGTGCCTGACTATAAAAAACAACAGCAAAAATAAATCAGATCTACTGAAGGATTATTAAATATCATGGTATTACACTTATTATTATTTATTAAATATTTTTTAATAAAAAAAAATGAAAACAATTTAAAAATCATTATTTTTAAAAATAATCAAATAGGACAATGAGGATTTTTGGGGCAAGTAGTAGTTTTTAAAATATTAAGTTAATTAAATCCAATGTCCTTTATGGAGCATGAACTTAATTTACTCTAATTCTTTATTTTTTTTTTATTTTCTCCTAAATGCAGTTTGTTATATGTACATACAGTTTGCAGAAGTAAGTTTATGTATTTAGCCAATGCTTCAATATCTTTGAAATAAAGAGCACAAGATTAATAATATTTCTATATTATTGAAACATTTTTTGGAAGGTCTTAAAAATAAATTGTAAGGAAGTATTGTTTCTTGATCAATGGTTGTGCTAGTAGGTGATTTGACCTAGATCATGCTCAACTGCCAGCTTGTCCTTCAATTAAGGATACCCAATTTTATAGACACTGGGTATATCCTAGAGATTCCAGGATCGATCTATAGCTGATGTAACAGAATAAATGATTCACTGCCATATGCGAGCTCGTACCTAGGATCTTTAGCCTAGTAGCCCAGTGCCTTACTAATTGAGCTACCTGTTCCTCTCATGAAAATAATAAAATAAAATATTATAAAAATTCCTAATCACCTACATTATAGAATAAAGAACCATTATTTTGGATTTGTTAGGAATCTTCCATTACCAACTTACTAATCCTGGTCTTAGCTTTATAAATTATATTGGACAAAAAGAGGAAAAGGAAAAGAATTTTTCCTTCCAGCAACTTGAAACTGTTGAACAGTCAAGAAATTTTATTTTTGCTCTTTCATTTAATTTGCTTATTACCAGATTTTATTTCCTTAATCAACTAAATAATTTTTAATTATTAAATAATTTTGGTTTTACTGTTTTAGAATAAAGTGGTGAGAAGAAGGGTTACCAGTCAAGACGATTTGGATCGGATATCGAAGATAACTTCAGGAGCACCTATCGATATGGGGTCGTCCAATTCTCTCGGCAGAAGGACCATAGCTTCCCTAAAAGAAATCGAAAGGAACAGACAACTACATTTGATTAATCAAGGTAAGCAATCATTGGATTTGAAATTAGAAATGTTATGTCCTGATTAATCAAAATATCATTTATAAAAATAGTTATTATGGTGGAGAAATGGTTAACCATATATTCAGAGAAGTTTGTCGGAGATTACATTCATTAGAAGTACGCACAAAAAAATTATTTTCTTTGTGATGATGTTACTTTATAACTTTCTAAATTTATACACCTTATATTTTCCATTAACTATTTATTAATATTATTACTTACATAAAACACAAATATTTTAATTTAAAAAAAAAACCTGACTACAGAAATTGGGAAATTCTATCCACCCTAAGGGAATGTACTTCCATATCTACGGAAACATTTTGGTAGATTGATAGGGCAATTGATATCTACGAATATTTAAACTTGGTGAACTGGTCGGGTTCCTTTCACTACACATTACGGCTCTAGACGAATATATTTCGTCCCGTATGACAACATCGGAAAGAGTCCTGAGGTATGATAGGAACCCGACTACTACTCCAAGTTTAAATATTTGTAAATGTCAATTTTCCTATCAATCTACCAAGATACTATCGTAAATATGGCAGTTGATTCTCTCAGGGTGGATAAAATTTCCAAATTTCTGTAATCGAATTATTTTTAAATTATATAAAATAATTTTTTACTTTTACATTTTTGGTTTTTAAAACATTAACAATACATTTTCATAATATATGATCACATGATTTCATTTCAATTCAATTAATAATTGAGATACTTAACCAATAATAACAACTTTTTTTCAAAACATTCACGGGATCTGAATAATCACAGCCGTCAAAGTTAAAAATCGATCATGTCATCCACTCAAAAAATCTCTGTGTACTTTTTCACGGATCGGTTAAACACACTTTACACAGTAATTTGACAGAATATTTAGCCCAAATTATTTTATAATACTCACGATACAACCGAATAATTTAAGTCATAAAACTTAAAAATCGATCCAGCCGTTCGCTCAAAACAGCATTACTTAGTTTTTAGCGGACGACCTAAACATATAACCCTTCTTTTGCTTCGCTTAGTCAGATAAAAATAGAAAGATAACTTTATTCTGGGATGAAGTATCTAAGAATGACAGACTTGTATAAAAATCAATACCATTTGTGCAAATTAGTTTCTGACTCATATAACTTTATTATATGATGATGCGATAAAAAACTCTCCTCTTTGTGGGTAAAAATGTATTTCCTAGGCAAGAAACTTTGGAAAAATAAAGTATATTATAATTGCCATTCAGTTTTCATTGAATGAATTCGAAATAAATATAGGATCTTAGTTATTTATATTTGATTCAAGTTTATACAATAATACCAACCGATATAAAGAATTAACAACCTTACATCTGCAAGACAAATTTTCTATATTAGTCATGTTTTTAGATCATATTACTGTATGGACAGAATTAACTGTAGCTTACTTATTTGCAGCATTTTTAATTAATTGTGCATAGAAGATAAAATAATAATTAAGTTCGGTGATTGTTAATTATCAAAAAAACAAACCACTTTTTCTTTTATCTCTATTTTAGTAATCCTTTGTATGTTTATATTGTGTGAATGTTTAATGTAGCCCTAATATTAATGCCCTCCAATGTGGCAGAATGTATTAATTTTTAAATAAAAAAAAAATTATAAAAAACAATTTATTTCTAGATATATATAATGAAAATTTTCTCTTTCATGGTAGTCTTTATTATATTCTTTTGTCTAACATTTCGAGTTACTCATCCATCATCAAAGACAATTTAAAACTATTAGTAGGGATCCATCTTATTGTTTTATAATGCATGTTAAAAACATTTATCCTTAGTTTATTAATTAATTTTAAATTAAAAAACATTTTTTCTAAGATTGATTTTTTCCATTGTCACAATTCAGTGGGGTATCACAACCCCAGTAAATTGTGACAATGGAAAACATCTATCTTAGAAAAAAGAGTATCGTATTGGATGAAAAACCTTCTAACAGTTTAAAATTGTCTTTGATGATGAGCGAGTAACCCGGAACATTAGACAAAAGAATATAGTAAAGATTACCATGGAAGAGAAATTTTTTATTGTATATGAATGAAATATCAGATAATAAAAGAAGAAATAATTTATTTGTGTTTTAACAGGAAGCCTGGTGATAGAAGAGGAAAGGCAGAGGGTAGAAGAGCTGAAGCGGCAAGTTCAGGACGAGGTGAAAGCCCAATGGGAGCAACAGAGGAACAGCAACTGCCAATCGCTAACGAGCATTACCAGTGACGACTCCAGTTTGGAGCCTACCAGGGACAGGTTAATAGGACCATAGATAATTTAATGAATGAATGAATTTGAAGTTAATGAATGAAAACGTATTAATACTTAAAAAAGATATAAAAAAAAACATACACATACAAGTCATAACTCATGGATAATGGTTAAGTCCATCTTTGTATAATTCAAATAAAATATTGGTTTAATTTATTAATATGATGAATTAGTAATGGTTATTATTTTTATTCCTATTTACATACCAATTTATTTTTACTGTGTCATTTCTGTAAATAAAATTCCGAAAACAAACATTAATAAATCAAAAATCTAACAAGTAAACAATTTAATTTTAACAATAATAATAAAATATCATACTACATAAAAACATTTTTTTCTTGTCAAATTTTATTTAACATCTGTCATGGATTTAATAATAAGCAGATGTGCTGTAGTGAACTTACAAAAAATACATTATAGGTGTGAGGAAGAATAGTACCCAGCAGCACCTTTTTCTAATTATTATTTGCTTTCTTAAATCAGGAATGGAGAACTCTCATCCAGCTCCTTTTCAGTTGCCTTCTGATGGGCACGTTGGTTGTGGTCATATTGTTTATAAGTCGATTGTTGTGTCTATGTAATTTAATATGAAATTGGAAGTAAAGAGTACGTATGTGTTGGTCGATAGTTGGTTGTCATAAGTTGGTATGTAAAGTTTTGTTGTTGACGTTCCTCAGAGCTGCTGTTAGTCTTAAAATTTTGGAATGGAAAGATAGTAGTTTTTGTAAGGGCGTCTTTTTTTGCTTAACTGAAAATCTGTGAGGCATATGTGCATTTGGGTTTGAGTAGGTGGTATGTATATGTATTTAATTTTTGTCTGATTTTCAACTTTAGTTTGGGGAAAAGTGAGTATAGTATTTTAATCGCTTGTTTAAGATTTTTCTTTTCATTTTGATGTGTGGGCCCTAGATCTTCTTTTTTTCAAATATTAGTTAAAGGTAATATACAGTATATATAGTATAGGGTAAAGGAGCCAGTATGGATCCATAAGGCACTTCTGCCAATACTGGTCAAAGTGGGGAAATTTTTAAACCCTGTCAAACAGAGAAAAATCTATCTAAAAGGAAAAATATATTAGTTTATATGATATACTATTGTAAAAAAAATAGAAATATAGTTCTGATATGGGTTCCCTCATCCTGTAGTATCAAAGTTGATGAGACATTCAATGCTGCTGTCAACTTAGCTCAGAAACAAGATGCTTCAGAAGTGACTATAATCTTGATCATCCCCCGATTAGACACATCAACTTGCTTCATTGCTTAAAGAAAAACGCCTATGGATTGTATACTGCTAGTTTTTCGCTGCGGACCTTTTGCAACGATTAGAAGCTACAACTTATACCCATTGAAAAGTTACCAGAACAGTAAAACAAATTCTTCTGCAATATAGTATCTACACCTACAGGCAATACGTAACATGGGAACAATAATAGAAAAAATCTTCCAGGTTGATGAAAAAGAAATGGAGAAACTGTTAGGCTGTTTAAGAAAAGCTGAATTCTACTATAGAATATAAAATTGTGATTGAATATATCAATAATCCTGAGCAGTCGATGCAAAATAAATAAATAAACAGTTTACTGAATAAATATGGTATTACACTCATTTTTCACTAATCAAACTAATTATGCTCTTTTCAAAGTAATTTGCTTTACATAATTCCTTAAGGTTTTCAAATTAGCACCATTTAATAAACTAAATTCTTTTGGAAAACTGTTCTTCTACCCAAAATGTTTTTCTCTTATCTCACTGTACATTATAGAGTCCGCTAAGTAATTAATTATTTCTTCATAATTACATACCAACTATAATTGTTTCATGTTCAGTATAATTCTATGATACTTATTACAGAATACAACTATGTTTTTGTTAATTAAGTTACGTTTGTGTATTAATAAAAATATTTTTTTAGTGGTGTAAGCAGTGAAGAAGTTGAAAAGAATATGATGTTTCCTGATGATAATAAAAATCGAGATTCTTCTGAAACTCCTGTAAGTATTGATTTAATTATAACAAATCCATTGTTTCATATTATGGTATTACTAAATTTCTTATTAATTACTAACTTAAATCATATTTACTTATATAACCTTTATTTTATTTTATCAATACGCAGTGTAAGGAGAAAGTAAATTAATTTACTCTTAATATATCATGCAGATAATGCTTAATAATAGATTGAACTAACTCATTGAGTAGGACACTGTTCTCCTATGTCCTAAGTCCCATGTTCAAATCCAGCTGTAGTAGATAATTATTTATTCTGTTATACCAGCTGTAGATTGAACTTGGGTTGGTGGACACTGCAAGGGCACACCCATCCTCTTTAAAGTGGGTGGTTTTAATTAAATAATCAATTATAAGGAATAATCTGGCGGTTGAGCTTGTTCTTGGTCAAATCACTTCTTGTATAACCTAGAAACAATATTTTGACAATACCCACTTTGACCTAGAAACGATACTTTTTATTTTTTTAATCTATCTAGAGATTGAGAGCCAGATGTCATTAGATGTTTTAAATTACAACACAGTGATTAGTATGAAATAGCCTTAATATACTAAAAAAAATGTGTAATAATTTAACTTAAACAAGCACATTGATATAATATAATTTCTACTATCTCTTTATGGGTCTAGAGGAAGAAGAGCTTTCTATCCCTTCAATATAATAATAATATAGAAGACATGATCTAAAAGATCCAAAAATACCTGATAAATGTCAATTATGCTTGAACCAATCCAATATATCACAGGTGGATGTGAAACGTTAGACTGGTACTTACCAGACCGATGAACTTGGGAATAATCATGGAGTGGATGATGTGGAGGGGTGCCTGTCTTATATTCATGGTTATCAAAAATTAGAAAGATTATTAATAAAACAATTGAATTTGAATGATATTAAATGAAATATAATCCTAATTTAAAGCAATATACAATATTTTTCACATGTATCTCATTTTCCCTTTCTAAATTATATTTTCCATCAGGCCATGAAGATGAAATTCAACTTATTGGATGAAAATATTCCATAGTATGTGCACCATTCAAATAAGTTCTTTCTTATAGATTCCATCAAGCTCTGTTGGGATAAATAATTTTATTATGGACCATTCTGAGCATCATAATAAACCTGATATCCACCTTATAGATATGAGAGAAAAAAAAAAAACAGGACTTATCGGTGTCGGGATCTCCAACAAAAATAATATAAACTCCACTGTGGCCAAGAAACTCCAAAAATATCGGGAACTATAGATCAAATAAAAGGAATTGCATAATTTGGCAAAACATTTCCTCCATGCCAATTATAATGTCCATAAATGGGCTTATACTGAAACAACAGTGGCAGGCATCAATGGTCTGTAATTGCCTCCTAATATGTTAAGATCACCTCAATAGTCAGTTCTGTTAGACACAACACAAATTGCTCAACAATTTTTAAATATTTGAAAAAATAATACGAATATGGCTGGAATTGTTTTCCCCCTCAATTACCCAACTTGAAAACGTAAGACAAATCAGAAGATAATAATAATGATACTAATTATTTTAATAAAATAAATTTCAAAGGCGAAAATTCGATTTTAATTTATTCATTTTATTTGAAAATATATAAATGTATATATACAAGCTGTCCCGTAAGTAGAGGGAAATATTTAAAAAGATCATAGTAGACATCGAAATTTACAAAAAAGTTCATTTAAACAATTGCCAACTTTCCAACAAAAAAGAAGGACATTTAGGATTCGTGTTTTTTTAAAAGTATTTTTTGTTGAATAAGAAGCGATAATTTAAAAATATTTGATATAATTAACTAAAAATTTGCTCCAAAGTAAACTAAATTACTTAACTTGAAGCAAATCGCAAGATTTTGCCAAGTGAACCTCAACTTAATTAATATGAACTTAAAGCTTATTATAATTGGTAATTGGTTGACTGTCGTGGATAATGAAGAGGAGAATAGTTGGGGTGTTCAGTCAAAAAGGAAGGCAAAAATAAATTATAATATTTATTTTTACATATGCCGACGTTTCGACCTGAAGTTCAGGCCTTCATCAGGGCTAAGAAAATAACCAGATAACAAGGTATGAGAAACATAAGTAATGATGGTAAAAAAGATAATAAAAAAAAAAAAATAAAAAAAAAAAATATTAGAAAATTAAAATAGATAAATATAAAGTAAAATGAAATTGTTAGAATAATGACTAAGAACTAAGAGATAAATAATAAAAACTGTTACATAGTGTGGAATGATGAAGTAGGCATAATCAAAAAGGGGTGACAAAAGTGTTACAATGGGAATCTTAGAATAAAATGTAAAACATAAAAAAGAAATATAAAGTTATATAAGAAATGAAAATAAATAGTAAAATTAAAACATTGAGAATGGAGTAGTTAGATAGAAAATTGAGATATTGTAAAGTCTTATAAGATATTGTAAAGTAGTTAGTATTCTATCTAACTACTCCATTCTCAATGTTTTAATTTTACTATTTATTTTCATTTCTTATATAACTTTATATTTCTTTTTTATGTTTTACATTTTATTCTAAGATTCCCATTGTAACACTTTTGTCACACCTTTTTGATTATGCCTACTTCATCATTCCACACTATGTAACAGTTTTTATTATTTATCTCTTAGTTCTTAGTCATTATTCTAACAATTTCATTTTACTTTATATTTATCTATTTTAATTTTCTAATATTTTTTTTTATTTTATTTTTTTATTTTTTATTATCTTTTTTACCATCATTACTTATGTTTCTCATACCTTGTTATCTGGTTATTTTCTTAGCCCTGATGAAGGCCTGAACTTCAGGTCGAAACGTCGGCATATGTAAAAATAAATATTATAATTTATTTTTGCCTTCCTTTTTGACTGAACACCCCAACTATTCTTCTCTTCATTAAAGCTTATTAAATGAGGAAGTTTTTCCAAAAGTGAGTTAAATGTAGTACAGTTAAAGGATGATAAAAAAATCACAAATAATTTGTCTTTTTTTAAATGGATCTTAGCTGTTTGTCTGCCAAATAGTCCTCTTTAAATAGTTCTAACAATGACAAACTCTACTTTCTTTTAAAGTAAATTTTGTCTAGTTTACTATGGAGCAATGTTTAATTACTTAAATTAAATATTTTTGAAGTTATCGCTTCCTATTCTACAAAAAACGTGATGCCTTAAAATAATACAAATGTTAAATTTCCTACTTTTCTGCTAGATATAGGGAAATTGTTTATATCTACTTTTTATAGATTTTGATTTCTATCAAATTTTTAAATATTTCTCTCTAATTACGGGATACCCTGTATTTATATTTTTTTTTTTATTTCCTTTTTTAAAACTGTGGTTCTAAAAAAAATTTCTTACTCTAAAGAAATAAAAATTAGAAATATTTTTGTTCTTACTGAGTTTAAAATTTTATATATTTTTCATTTATTTAATAATTAACAATATATTTCAAATTGATTTATTAATAATTATAATAAAAAATAATATTTATAAGAGGTTAATGTTATAACCATCTTAAGTATTCAATTGAATGTTTTTAATTACATTATTAATGGAACATTTTTTAAAAAGTATATTCTAAATTGTTAGACTAAATGGGTTTTTGCTTACGTATAGATAACAGATAATGTTATCTTTTAATGTTTACACCTTTCTATCTCGTGGCACACCACTATGTCTGCTGTCTATTGAGTTGTCTATTTTCATTTGTATTATTATTAGTTAAGTTTATTTTTCATATAAATATAAAATTTGAAATATATAAATGTGTAACCGATATATGGATTAATTTTATGAAGAATGGATAGAAAAAGAGTAAGTATAACTTAATGAAAGATTTATTAAGTATTCATTTTCTAATCTTGTTTAATTTTCTGTTGTTATTAAGTTAATATTTAGCAATAAAATTAATCTTTTTTATTACTGATGATAAAGATTTTTTTAATAAGATGATATTAATTAATACTGTCTCTACTATTAAATTAATACTATTCCTAACAAAATAATATTGTGTACCGTGTATGTTGAAAAAGTAGTCCAATACACTTGATCTTTATTCTAGGAGATTTAATCTTAGGAACTTTAATTATAAACTATGTAATGTTTAATATACTATATATAATGCTTAAGCTATATATTTTGCATAAAGAAGATTTAAAGTTTCCTGCCAATGAAACAAAATGACTTACCTATTGATGTATGTTTATTCCCACTCGTAACTTCATATGTTGATGTACTATTTTTCTAGAATTTCTTCTCGATATTAAAAACATCAGCCGAGTAAATCAGTACAGCTTCCTCGTGATTTGTATAGGCTACATAAGAAAACTAATGTTAGTAATCTAAGATTTTAATTTAATTTTTTATTTATTTGTTAATTATTTTATTAACTGAATGAAATTATCCAATTAAAACATGTCTAATGAATCACATTAAGTTTAAAAACTAAAATAACTTCCGATTCTCATATGTTTACTGTCTACCTCTTCTCACAGACATCATATGACTAACAATTACAATATTAATTTTAATTAATAAATGAAAATTACCATTTTTGTATTATTTCCTAAATTTTCCTCAACTTTTGATCAAATTAAATAATCCATTTTCGAAATATATGTTTCGAGAGTAAAATACATTGATGCATTAGTTAGCGAAAACAGGGAATAACGTTACATAAAATAGATAGATCATTTTTTTACCAATCCCTAATTTCTCTCTAGGTTTGGGCCTTATTGAATCTATAATTCCTTAAGTAGGCTAAAAATCACCTCAGTTATACATATATTTTTTCTTTTTAGCTTAACGACTAAACTTAATTCATGCATTTTTTCTGGAAGGATACTTGCGGAATTTTTCTTTTGGTATATGAGAAAATAAATCCGTTTACTTAGGAAATATATTTTAAAAAATCAGAATGAAATTATCACTAGAGTTGAAATTTTAGAATTATTAAGTTTATAGATATAATCTCTTTTATGAAATTCAAATTATTCAAATAATAAAAGATAGTCATATCCCAATAGATAAACCAAAAAAGACATAGTTGCGTAATTCAGGATGATCACTGAACATGATTATTTTTAAAAATATCTACATAAAATATCTTTAGCAGAATTTCCTAACAGCAACTTCCACTACTGTGAGTTTTCCATGAATGTGGTCATAACTTTCATTGAAATCATGTTTATGTTCTGGACTGTTAAAAGACTAGTGACAGTAGCTAAAATTCAAGGCTTAGAAAACAAAATGTTACTCAGCAGTAAGAATTATTTGTTTAATCTTTCAAGAAAAGTGTCAAGAGTACAAGTCAAAAATTACTGATTTTAAGTTTTGCTGCGAGTACCATTCTTTTCAACAATTGTCATAGTATCAAAGTATTTAAAATTAGCTTGGCAGGGTTAATCAACATTTTGTGACCTAGGGATGGAAAAAAGTACTTTTAAACTTAGTTCTGAAAAGGAATTGTTCTTGACTTATTCGCTTAATACTTTTTGTTTCAGAGTTGCAGTTATATGAAATCATGTTTCATTTACCCTGCTATAATTTTATTTATTTTTATTTTTTCAGGTTGATAACAATCTCATCAGCGAGACTCCAGAAAGTAGACCAACCTCAGATGTTTCTGGGTACAGCGATGATCAACTGACTGTCAAAATCAGATCAAAATCTACATCTAATCTACAAGTATGTTTACTATGAATCATTGATTATTTTTTAAACATTTTTTTAATCCTATAATGCTAAACCTCAATGAAAGGTATCTTTATAGCTAATTTTTTGTCATTTCGACTACTTGTAAAAAATATCAATTCAGAGAGAGTTGAAGGAATCAATGAGAATAAATAATCACAATGTTGATGACATAATTATATGACATAATCATCCTATTTTTTTGGTATTAAAATGCAATTTTTCTTTTAAAAAATATTTATAATAGTGGATTGATGGTTGATTGTAATAAATTATCAGGTTGTAGGTGATCAGTCATAATATAAAGTAAAAATAAATAAATTATATTTATCTAATTCTGCCATATATACTGTTATACAAGTTGAACTTTGTTTACATCCTTGGGTATTATTTAGATAATCCTTACCTCTATGAGGTTATTTTCTTTACATGTCAGGATAATAATCCCAATTAGTTTGTATTTTTCTTTCGCTCAGTTAACTTGGAGTGGGATGATAAAGAAAACCGAATAACTGTGATCGTCTTACACAAAATTGGAAAATTTAGGTCAGAGGTTTTCAACACTTTGAAACATTTGGGTATCATCCGTATGTTCGTGTACAGTACTATAAATAGATATAATGAGACTCTATCTGTATGTGACAGACCTCTCCGCATCTCCACACTGTGAGAACGGCAAATGCAGTGAGAGCAGTGGCTGTTCTAATCAGAAGAAATTCAATTCGAAAACAACAAATCATGGGAAATGGGAATCTTTATTGGATCAATGTCTCGCATAATAAAAAGTAAACTTAAGATGTGTGCATTTCGAACAAAGGCTTGAACAAAGTGACAGGACAAAGGCTGATCACTTTCCTAAAAAAAAATTATAGTGGATTAATGCAAAGTGCTCCTTGGCCGTTACACCAAAAGTCTTCATCGAAAGATTTTTGATAAGATTCGATAAGAAAATTTTTAGAATTGAAGAAAATTTAATCGCCAAAATGATCATGTGTACGTGCACAGCTCTAAAGAAGCCCAGGAAATCATCATTGGAAGAGTGGAAAGAGGTTATCACCCTTCCTCAGTGATGGTTTGGTGGGGAGTATGCATTTATGGCACCACAAGGCTCTATTTTTTGAAAAAAAAACAGCTGCTAAAAACTATCAAGACGATATTTTGGAACCTGTTGTCAAGCCTCTAAATGATACTCTGTTTGCTGAAAGTCATTGGGTTTTCCAACAGGATTCCGCTCCAGCTCACAAGGCCAGGTCAACTCAGCAGTGAACATTCCAGAGTTCATCTCTGTTTCGGATTGGCCCTCAGGAAGCCCTGATCTCAAACCACTAGATTATCGGCTTTGGTCCGAACTGAAGAGGATGGCATGCCACAGAGAATTCAGAAATACACGTTATGTTAATAAATATATCATTTATCTTTCATCGAGATTTAGGTTAATCGTTGTTCATTGTTAAATTAAAAAATAATTTTTTTCTTATGCCACTTCTAACTTCAATTTAGAAGCTGTAAATGTAACACCAAATTAAATAAGCAATTCATATTATAAATTTAAGAGTTTAGTTTTTATTTATTGATGCTATATACCTGATTTTACACTTTTGGTGTTTGTAATTGCACGATTTTGAGATTTATATTGTGCATTTTTTTACTGCTTGAAAATCCAGTCTCTAGTGATAAATAACACTAAAAACATAATTCAAATCATCTTCACTCACTGTTAGGCATACATGTATTCTTACTCTACATGTATTCTTATTATTGGTATCTTTATCAACCAGTTCTGATCTAAATATTTAATTAATGTGAATAAGAAGAAGAAATATTAAAGATGTATCACTTTTATTCACTTAAACCTTCAATTATGGAAGAATAAATTAATAATAATAATCTACTTGAATTACAAAACATTCATGCAGATGCATTATTATTAAATGAATGGTGGTTAATGAATTTATTTAATTACAGAGGCCGCTGACGAGATACTTACCGATCAAGAGCGAGAGTTTAGATCTGAGAGCACACATCGAGAGCGCTGGACATCAAGTGGATCTCTGCTCTCACGTTCAGCTGGATTCATTGTCCTGTCGCGGCTACCTCAGCAAGATAGGTTCGAGATTCAAAACTTTAGCCAGGCGATGGTTTGTCTTTGACAGGGCAGCACGCACTCTGCTTTATTTTTCAGACTCCTCTGAAAAGAAAAGGAGAGGTGGTGTACATTTCCAGGTATTCAAATGTCAAATTAAGGTTTATTCATTTTCAATAACATTATTATTCTTTAAACCTTTGGTAGTGGTAAACTGCTAAAGGCTTATTTACACTTGTCACTTTAGATGTTCATCTTGGAAGAATCCTCTAAAGCAGGACTCTTCTAACTATTTTACCTACGGACCATCGTATGTAATCATAAATAATATTGATGTTCAAAAGCATTGAAAGTCGAACATCGATGTTTCCGATACATCAAAATAAAAATATGAAAACAATGTCGTTTTTATTTCATATATTAATAATTTAGGACCTTTTTATAATCCATCTGGTCCAAATTGATTCTGCAGGCTATACTATATTAAACATAATTTTCTATTTTTCTGTCTTGATACTCACTATTTGTTATTCACCTGTCACTCTCTGTGCGTCTCGATGACTTTTCACCGAGCCTAGCCGGCTGGTCACTTTCTGCCTTTTCACATATGGCCCTTGTTTCCCTCTCCATCTGTTTTTCTCCGCCTCTGTCCATTTTTGAATGTAGTTCGTGATGTCACTGCTTTTGCACCACTATTTAAAATCACTATGTAATATTTACAATACAATATTCAGATTTATTTGCCAATAACTCAAAAAGCACTACACTGTTTTCTTTTAAAAGTGAAGAATAGAAAATAAATTTTAGAAACATGCACATTCATTAATGTTTTCTCAAATGTTCAATAATGATTATGATCAATTTTTGACCACTTGGTGAATACTAATTATTATTGAATGACTATCCAGATTAATGAGGTCTTTCTTTATGAGTTATAGTTTATTTATCAAAATAGACTAAGAATGGTTTTATATTTTGTAATAATGATTCTATTTTTTTTTTTCTAAATAGTAATTATTTTATTTTTGCATTTTAGGATATCGAAGAAGTATATGTAGATCACTTGAACACATTCAAATCACCAAATTCTAAAGTAACCTTTGTCGTGAAAAGCACTACAAGATCATATCATTTGATAGCTCCAAGCCCAGAGGCGATGAGGATTTGGGTTGATGTTATTTTTACTGGTGCCGAGGGTTACCAACAATATCCTCATTAATTTTTACATTAATTGGTATTAGTTCTACATATATGAATATAATTATTTATTTATATTTTTAATACATTCATCCTTTTTTTTTTTTTTTCTTTTTTAATCATCAGTACAAAAGATTTCAGATAAGCTAGTTGAAGAATCATTAATGCCTTTAGCGTTAGTTCACACTGACTGATATATTTTAAAGCTTAGTTAGCGATATACAATGTAAGACATTCAGTATTTAGTAATAGGTCTTACGTTTTATATATATATATTATTGAGTTTGCTTAACTCAGGGTGAAGTGCCTCTTTGTTAACCGATACGGTGCCTGTAAGCCTTATATTATTAACTTAGATGAAAACAAATAAAGTTTATAGTTATTAATTGAAATGTTTAAATTTAGATTTAAATAAAAAAAAAAAAAAGAAAAAGAAAGATATAATTTTGTTTTGTTTTGTTTTATTTCTAAGAACCTTCCTTTTTGACTTGTAAGTTCAGAAAATATTCTTAAGTTATTTCTAGTCCTTGAACTGTGATTGTTTCACAAATTGTATTTTTTTTTTCTGATTGTATTAATTTTTTGTTTTATTGTTCGCTGGAAATTTACAGTGAAAAAATAAATGAAATGTTGTGTTGATTTACTTATATTTTTAAACTCAGCGTAGCTGATAATTCTACTTATGTGGAAGGTTCACTTTCGAAAAAGACTAATTTTTATCAATTTAACTAAATGCCTTGTTATTTCTTTTTTTCAAGAAGAAATTAATTTTCTTAAAAAAAAATTGTATTAATTATAAAATCCAAGATTGATTTTTATTTGTATATATTTATGTATTTGTAAATATAATTTTATTTCAGAGTAAACTATATTAGGTTACCAATGTATAACATTTTTTTTTTTTAATTAATGTACGATAGTCTTCCTTAGTTTATTATCAGTTAATAAACATAATGTTCTGCACAAATTGTTTTATTTGATTTCATTTTATTTTATCCTACCATTTTTATTTTATTTTATTTTTTTTGCTAGAAATAGCTGAGGAGCTGGAAAAATTAAATAATGAAATTATGTTGTGAACATTTTTTATTAATAATAATAAATAACAAAAGGCTTAGCGAACCTGAAAGTTCGATGCCAGCACCACCAATCGCTACACACCTCCCTCCACTGTTCGCTGTTCAAATACAGTCCCTTCAGATCGGCTTTAACGCAATCTTCCCACCTTCACTTCGGTCTACCCCTCAGGCATTTACTATTTGGTAGTACTGCAAATATCAACCTTTTAGGAATTCTTTCGTTACTAAGCCTAACAATTTTACATGTCCATTTGGTTTGCCGTGACGTAATCATATCAATTATATTAACCGGACACATTTCATGTAATTTGGCGTTGTGTAACCTTCTGAACTCTCCGGTTAACTCATCCTTCTCCGGTCCGAATATTCTACTCAATACTTTATTTTCTAAAACCTTAAGTAATGTAAGCGGGCACGTTTTGCATCCATAAAGAAATAATGGTTTTATAGATTCTAGTCTTTAAATTCCGCTAAAAGATGTGGGAGCTAAGTACTTTGTCGCAGAAAAATAACAAGCATTTCCTGCCTTCAGCCTAACTTTAATCTCTTCTTCAATTTAGTTTTTTCTAGTTATCATAGACCCTAGATACTTAAACTTCTCTACCTGTTCAAACATATTACCTTCTATATTGAAATCATCAGCAGTATCGCCATTTTTGCAGCTAACCATATATTTTGTCTTATCCGTGTTAATTGCGAGTCCTAGTTCTTTACCGGCTTTCATTAACGTTATTGTATTTAGTTTTATAATTTCCGCGTCTTTGCTTAACAGGACCAGATCATCCGCCTATCCAAGTACGGGTGTTGTCCCACCCAGATCCAATCATTTTTCGGTACGCATTACCTCCCTATTGGCATGTTCTAATGCCAAATTGAACAGGAAAGGCGAAAGGGAATCACCCTGTTTTAAACCCAAACGAACCTCAAACTTTTAGGATACATTATTACCGACTCTAACTTTATCGATTGTTTCCATCATTTTCAATTAACAACATTTTTATTAAAAACATTTGAACATTAATTATTGACGTTTCAAAAATATTTTCTGGATGATAAATAATCAGGACATTTTAAAGGTTTCGAGCACTGAAGTTATTCTAGTCTAGTCAAGACTCATCAGCACCAATAAAATTCCTTTAAAATGACTGTGTTCTGACTATTTATCACCCATGATATTTGGAACAGTTGACTAATCTCCTTTCAACAATTCAAAAGATATGGATTTTCAGTCATAATATGTTTATTATAGTTGCTGACATTTCAACCAAAGTTAGTGATCATTTAGATAAAGTTAAAATTAAATCAGAAATATATGATAAAGACAGAAGTAAATAAATGAACTAAGAGAAAAATATGAATAGTACACATAAATTAAAGACAAATTTGTGATACGAAGTGGCTAAATTACCTAGTTAGTTTTCAAAGGATTTTTAGAAAGTATTATATTTTAAATAGATAAAGGTCTTTGTCTCTTAAAACATTTTATTTGTCTCGTTATTCTTATAAATATGAATACTCTAAAATAAAAGTGACCTTCATCTTTGAATACTGGAATACAAAGCGTGTCTGAAACGTCCAATAGTATGAATAAAGAATACATAGTTGGAAGGGTGGTATTTCTTCTTGAAGTTTCAAGAAACATTACAATTTTTAAATTATTAACTTGAGAAAAGAAATTAAAACTTAAGAAATTGATTTTTTTTTCTTTAGCTATAATATATCATTATGCCCACAATTAAGTAAATAAACCTATTCAAAAAATAAAATATGGAAAATCCATTTTTGCTACCATTATTAATTATTAAATTTATATGAAAGTGATGTAAATTCGTAACCCCTTTATATATATATTGTCAGTTTATTGTAAAAAATCATTAGGTGATATTTAAATTTCTAAGAACTTTGATTAATGTTTGCTTCGACAAACCATAAAATTGTGTGCTTGTTGCAATTATATTAATATATATATATATATAGAGGTGATTGTGCCATTTCAGTGCACTTACAGTTATCTTTTGTCGATAAGTAAGGTGGGAATTCACAAATACATTCTTAAAAGCTCAGTACCTTCAAAAATGTACCTAGTGACTTTTTGCATCAAGCCTAATATGCAAGAACGAAATTTTAATTTTACAGGGCGGATTACTTTCAATGTGGACTAATGGTAACAGCGGTACAAGTTAAGTATTGATTAAGATAACTTTTTGAATAATTTATAAAAATGATTAATTTAATAATATTTAATATTAATGTTTTAATTTAATAATATGAAAAAATTCACCAATGACAGAAAATTGATGTTAGATTATAATTTAAAATTCCAACTTATCAGCCTTATGTTTCTCCTTTGACATCTATCATTTGGGTCATTATTGCCTCACGTCACCCGTTATATTGTAAATTTTAGAATATATTTTCCTCTGTCTTAGGAAATCAAAATGTTTATCATTTATCTGTATATTGTCAAGTTAAACAGAATAAAAATTGTTTAGAATATCAAAAAGTGCTCTTTCAGTTTTATTTGCTCTAAAGTTTGTCAGAAAATGCTTCACAGTCAGCAGATTCACGCAGGTCTGACATTCAGTTGAGGTTCGTGGACCATCAGGTAACTGTGGCCTATGCGTAGTTGCTTCTAAATCACCTCTCTTCGCTTATTTCAGAATGAAGATTTCCATGGGAAGACATTACTTTTAACTAATCTCAATTTATTCTCTGAGACAGCAGACCACCTTTGTTCCCATTTTAATTTTATTTTTTGTTTAATGAGGGAGGTAAACTCTTCTGCAGGAACCCACCAATATGGAATGCCATCAGGCCTTCTGTCTCTTAAATACAGTTAAAGAATAAAATAATACATTAATGTTTTGCCAATTTAGGAATCAAGACATAAAAGTAAACAAACTGAAGATTACATCACTTCACGACATCCAACCACCAACTGCATTGCAGTATGCAATTGGTTTTCATGGTGTGTTGTGATTTTTTTTTTTTCTGTCCTTATGATGCCTGAATTGGCGAAACATTTAAGAGTTAGTTTATTCTTTAGAATTTTTTTTGGTTGGAATTTTCCAATTATAACCTGACATAATTTACTTTTATGAATAATTATTACATTATTATCAACATCTTGACTTTTGTTTCACTTTATTTAGTACAATTCTCTTTTATATTCTACATAAAATATAGAATACTCGTTGGCCAGTGCGAATAATTCACAGATAATTTTGTTTAGTGAAGGAATAGCAAAACAATATGAAAATAAGTAGATCCTATATATTATTTGAGAGAGGAATTAATTGTTTTTCCTTGGTCGACTACAATATTCCACTTAACATAAGAGATCAAAATATTTGTACAAACTGCTTTACTAAGGCCTTTTTCTAAATGCTGACTGGAAAGGTAACATTCTAAATAAAGCCTCCTTAGATTTTCTAAATTATTAAAAAATATGAAATTTACAAATGAAAAAATGTCGTTAAGAAATAATAAAGTATATATCAGCCAGGAAAAAAAAGGTAGTAGAATAGTAAATGCAGTATCTTTTAAGAGGAAGAAATTATTAAGTATACCAAAACAAATGGACTGTATCTTTGTTAATAATTGCCAGATTTTTATAATTTTTTTTTTGTCTTGTAGGGAATTTAGTAATCTTTCTAATTTCGGTGGGATAGGTCTTTTTTTTCACATGTGAAGGAGAATATCCTAAAAATGAGTGGTCATTCATTGGGTTTGATTAAGAATTAACGAAGTTATGGTGTACCAACAAAAAAAAAATCTTTTAGAAATAACATATAAGATACTTTTATATCTATCACTTAATAATACTGTCATTATTCACTATTATTTGTCCAATTGTATCATATTTATACTAACAATAATTTTAAGGAGGTGATATCTATTATTTTTTGACGAAATAAGAGTAAATAAGGACAAAATGAACTAATTAAAACAAAATCACTATGTTCTTAAGTGGTAAATGTTAAAAATATATAAGAGAATTGTCTTGAAGATAGGGGAATATTCCGAAAGGACAATGTTTGTGTAATAATTATTAATAAAATGATAATAGAAGAAATCTACTTCACATAATTACCAAAGATAAATATAATATAATCTTCAATAGTACTCGAAATAAAATATTAAGATAAAAAAAATATATTTGTATACCTGAAATCCTCTAGAAATCCTATTTAATGCCTGTTAATTTCAATTTGTAAAAACTGGTGTTTGATCCATCAGAATTTATAATTAAGCATATTGGTATAGAATGCTAGATTCTGTTATTTGTTGTATTGGTGAAAATATCAATATAAAACTGTAATATGAGAAAATATTTAATAATTTAATTAGAATGATAGTTATATTTTCTACATTTTAATGTGATCTTTCTTATTATATATTAAATAAAGTTTAACGACTTTACCTTTTTTTTAAAAATATTTCTTTTCTCCTTCTAATAATGGAGTCTGATTTAAGCTTCTTATGGCTTAGGACAATTTGGCGCTAAATCGTCAGCCTTTAATTATAATTAGCTCAAATTAAAACAATTAAATAAGAGTAAATGTTACTGTTTTAAAATGTTAGAGAAATTATTTTGATTAATTTTTTAAGTAATTTATTTTATTATATACGAAATAAATATGTGTATAATATAATTATACTGTTACCTATTTCCGAAAATGTTTGGAAACCTAAGTTTTGAGCTTATATTTGAATTTATTATTATTATTTTTAAAAACTAATTCTTATGAAATAATTAAAAACTTTATTGATTTTATTTAGAATATTAAAAATGTTTTTATAGTTTCTAATTTGACTGGTGTAGTAATCAGAAGCTAAGTTTTTCCAACGGTTAAAATGGCCTTTTCGAGATCCGACTATGTACGAATTAAGGTAATTAGATTTTAGGCCGGTGATTCGATTTTGATGGAGTTTAGTTTTCAGTATCGGTTTCGATTCAGTGCAGTTATTTAATTACAGCGAAAGTGTGTTTGTTCAATCGGGAGTGTTTCGGTTTATTTTTTTTGATATAAGTATTTAATACAGTCAAACCTCTAATGATATATCAAAGATGGATGTTTCTTTAAAAAAAAATCGACATTTTGAATTTTTCAGAAAAATTGCAATTTTTCATATTTATTATATTAAATAAACATTAAAATTATTTATTAAGGTCAAAGAAGTACGTTTCAATACCAAATAATCGATTTTATAGAATTTTAGAATTTAAATATTTCCGGTCTTTTCGAGATCTTTAAACGTTTTAGTCTTTTTTAGTGAATGGTTTTATCGTATCATAACTTATTTATTTAAATTATTTCAATTTGGAGATCAGAAAACTTTTTATATTTAATGAGGTGCAAAAAACTCATAAGCACCCATTTGCTTATAATTTGAATCGTAAAATAATTTGATCACAAAATCAAGAAAAGATGTGGCCTACAAAGCATTTGGCCGTTTGGCTTGACCTTCTAATAAGTCAAAATAATGAGAAAATATAGGCCAAATGGTTTAATATTTTTGCAGGCCACCTCTTTTCTCTAATTTGTGTTCAAATTATCTTACGATTGAAGTGGATTGTGAATGGGTATTCATGAGTTTTTAGTATCTAATTAAATTAATTAATTTAATAATAAAACCCTCCCTTTCTGAGAATATTAGTGAATAAAATAGTTTTAAGTTAAGACGGTGTTAATAGTTTGATAAAAAGAAGTCGGTTCCAGATACTATTTTCATAACTTTCGAATCATGGTTTTTATGGACAGTGAAACCTGTTTTTTCGTATTTAATTATTACGTATTCTTATTAACGTAAACTATGAGCTCTTTTGTTGTTTATTACATTTTATATTTTTCAAAATGTTAATTTTTTTGATATATTGAAGTTTTTTTTCTAGTTTAAATTCAAAGCTTCTAAAAAAATTTTGATATGTAGAGATTTTTTATATAAAGAGGTTTGACTGTATTCTAATATTTGACTGCGTGTTTGGATTTTATCTTAATAATCAACGCACTCAAAACCCAGGTTAGTTTTATTTTAATATTTATTTTATTTAATTTTTTTTATGAACTCGTAATATTCATATGTTATTATATTCCGACTATGGAAAGTTTGAAATATTACTTTCAAATCGTGTGCAATGTCTCAAGACATTTTTAGGGATCATCCTGTACGCTACATATTGGAATGGTTCAGAATTAATGTACCTGTTATTTTGTAATAGTTATGCGCGAATTGAACTGTTACCAATTTCTTCAGAAATAACAGGTATGGAGTACCAGTTACAGTTATTTCTTCCACTAGAACTGAATATAGCCACTAGGTGAGCATTTTGTCTCGACATAACTACCTTTCTCAGATATTGGCGGATTTACGAGGAGAGAGGGCTTCGGGCTTAAGTCCTTCTCCCCTCTCAAAAATGTTTTTTCATTGGTTCATATTTGTAATAGTTATGAGCGAACTGAACTGTTACGAATTTCAGAAATAGCAGGTATGGATTAAACCAGTACAGTTATTTCTTCCACTAGAACTGATTATAGCCACTAGGTGAGCATTTTGTCTCGACATAACTACCTTTCTCAGATATTGGCGGATTTACGAGGAGGGAGGGCTTCGGGCTTAAGTCCTTCTCCCTTCCCCCTCAAATTTTTTTTTTCATTGGTTCATATTTGTTTATGTGACTGGTCTAAGGTAAGTACTTAAAAATCAGAAGATATTCTCTTTTTAAATGATAATATATATTTTAAATTGCATGCGTATTCTTCTTTCATATTAATTACCGATATTTAAAAAAGATCTGGTAGGCGCATCACACTGCTTTAACTTATATCTCTACTTCGAATATAAATTATTCCTCTGGCAAAACTGAGTAATTAAAAAAACAATTGTAGTGTTTTTGAAGGGTATTATCTGCCCGCTCCACAAGAAGAGAGATCAGCTGGAGTGTAGCGACTACCGGGTTATTGTTCTCCTCTCATCTATTTATGAAGTACTCTCAAATATCCTCTTCGAGAGATTGGTTCCACGCGGATAGAGAGATCGAGGAGTATCAGGTAGGATTTAAAATGAGAAGGGTCCACTATGGACCAAATATTTAAATTGAGACTGATCTTGGAAAAATGCAAAGAATATAAAATCGTTACTCACCATCTCTTTGTCGATTTCAAATCCGCATATGACCGGAACTTTACCAGGCCCTCAAAGAAATGAACGTCCCGATGAAATTAGTGCGACTGATTATATCCCTAGAGCTAGGCCCCAAAAATCGACCTCATCGCAGGCGAAGAAAGTTTTTATCATATGAGAAAAGTTTTTACTTTTTTAACTTGTATATATGGTTTTAGACATGTAAAAAACAAAATTGATAATGCGGGCCACCAAGGGAAAACTTTTTACAGCAAAAAAGTCTAAAAACGAATACAAAATGTTTTGCCCGTCCGCCATCCGCGCATTTTCTCCGAAACTACTTGACCAATTTTTTTTAAAATTTGGATTTAAAATTAAAGGTCACCCGAGGATGATCCTTCTTCATCGACATTTCCATCCGCCTTTTCGTTTCAAGATGGCGCCCGAAAACCTTGCGTTGCTATAGACTGTAGCGCCTAAACAAATGTACTTATTTCAATGAAACTTCGCTAAAGTCTTATTCTCGATGCCCTTTAACTTTATCTGTACAACATACTTCAACGAAAAGGAGCTGGAAAAAATGTTACGAGGAATGGTAAAATTAGATTCCGAATAACTCAAAAAGTATACACTTTTATGTCAATATTGTGATAAGATGTTTTGAAAGATATTTAAATTTCCTAAAAAAATGAAGAAATCAAAGCACTATTAGGAAAGATATCGCGATTTTTAAATATTTTAGCTTTTTTATTTTCACTAATGAATCATTGCAGTCGAAAAAAAAAATCAAAACTTAATCCCCTCTTAAACCCCTTTCCGAATAACTAAAAAAGTATACACTTTTTGTCGATATTGTATATGGTTGTTTAAACGTTTACGGAATTTCCTAAAAAAATATCGTTAAAATCGAACAATTAGGAGCAAAAATATGGTCTCTACATGTTTTTATATGTTATACTGCAAAGTTTATATCCTTTGTTTTGGTTTTTGAATGTGTTACTAAAGTAATGCTAACTTTTTTAGCATATTACCAACGATTAAAAAAAAAAAATGTTTAGTCCACTAATTGGAATCACTTTTTATTTGTCACTAGAATGGTAATGTTACTTTAGATGTATAATTGTTTGGAAATAATAAACCATTTTTTATTACACTTAAATTTAGGCAAACATCTATGTGATATGAACAACCTTAAACAATAATTTTACAAAGGTACAGTGAAAAGGAAACGTAATAAAGAAAACAAATTTTGTATTAAAATTATATATTATTCACTAGTAACAATTACTAAGCAAACGATTAAAAAACTATATTGCTAAAAAACAATTGTCACAGACATAATTTATAATTGACAATTTTTTGTTCATTTTTTAAAAATACATATCGTATCTAATAGATTGATCGATATAACGTGCAAATAATTGAACATCCACTCTCAAATTAATAAAGAGAGTTTGTTCCCGGTGTGGGAACTATTTTTCCATCAATGAAATCCTTCAACCAATCCAACAGAGCTTGTAGCGATTTACCGTACATAATCTTGTTAGCTTGTTCTATGACATAAGCACTGATTTGACTGCATACGTATTTCTCGTTTTCTGTGAAGTATTTGAAGGCCGAAGTTTGGAATAATTCTTCAATCTCTTCTTCTGTCATTCCTTCTATTTCCAAGCCAGATTCTTTGAACTGTTAAAAAAAAAAAAAAACATGTATATATATATATTAAAATAATCATGAAAACTCTGTAGTCAAACCAATAATCTTAGTCCGTGGTACAGACCCCTTTTTATAAAATTATTAGCAACCGTCTAAAACTTCGTAAATTACTTCATCTTATCTGAAACTTTTTTTATGTAATGGGTCATTTTCTAATTAAATTAATTAATTTAACTATCTGACATGTGCGAATACTCCGCACAAACCTAATAATTGTATCTGATTTTAATACATTAAGGGCTCAGCACAACTTCCATTCAATAATGTTTGATACACAAAGGTTTATTAAATATATTTTGTAAGTTATCTGTTTACAAATAGGATTTACAATCTGCCATAGTTTAACCATTGCATTTCCTTAAAAGTCCGTGGTACAGACCCCTTTTTATCAAATTGTTAACATCCGCCTTAAACTTCGTAAATAGTTTCAGTCCTTCAGTATCCTTTAACAACACCTCACTTATCTCTGTTGAACAAATCCGTTACCTAGGACTCCGTCTGGACAAACGTCTAACTTGGAATCCTCATACCAGACTGAAACGACAAGAAACAGCTCGACGTTTCCGACTACTTCAACACTTACTAGAAAAAACGCTCTAACCTTCCAATTAATTACAAAAGACTCATTTACATGACTATAATAAGGCCTATTTGGACTTACGAAGTTGAGCTATGGGGCTCCACCAAACCTTCAAATTCATCTCGTATCCAGTCCTCACAATCTAAAATTCTCAATGCCCCTTACTTTGTTTCAAATAAAATCATCCACAATGACCTAAATGCTCCTTATGTATCAGATTTGGCCCAATCCGGATATCTGTCCTTCCATAATAAACTTCATAACCATCCCAACCCTCTTGTCTCTAACCTTCCTTCCTATTCGATTCCTGATAACCCTCCGAGGCGTCTGAAAAGAAGAGGACCACGTGATCTCCTAATATAGACATATTATTAGAGTGCTACCAATGAGTATTTTCTCAACATGTGTTTCATGTCATTATATCCATGTGCGAATTTACTAGACGTATTTTTTGTTTACAGTTGTAAATATCATATAAATAAATTAAAAAAAAGGTTCATCTCATCGTAACCTACAACTACTTTATTTAAGAAAACTCTGGGAATTGGGGTGTTTTAAATCTGGAGGAGGGCAAACTTTGTCTATTTAATTAGGTATTAAAAAATCGTAAATGCCCTTTCTATTTGGATCGTAAGATAAATTGATCAAAAATCGATAAAAAGGTGACCTACAAAAATATTGGGCCATTTGTCGTATATAATCTCATTATTTTGAAAATTTGGGGGTGTAGGTCACGCCAAAGGACTCAATATTTTTGAAGGTCAGCTTTTTTAACGATTTTGTGATTAAATTATCTTACGATCCAAGAAGAAAGCAAATCAGTATTTCGAATTTTTAGTACTTAATTAAATAGACAAAGTTTGCCCCTCCCCCCAATTGAAAACGGCCCAATTCCAAGAGTTTTCGTAAATAAAATAGTTGTAGGCTACGATGAGATGAAGCTATTTACGAAATTTCAGGCGGATGTTAATAATTTGATAAAAAGGAGTCTATACCTCGGACTACTTACTTAATAGCTACTGTATCTGCTTTTATAAAACACACAACTTCAGTCTCTGAACCTTTTAGTTGACAGAATGACTAACTCCTATTTTAACATTTTTGAGTTGTGTCATTTTAGTGATATTTCTAATTGGAAAAGTTATATCTATACAGACAGTGAGTAAGTTGATTCTAGAGTAGGCGATTGCAGTGTTGAAATATAGAACTATGAATAAAGCTATAAATTTTTCCACGAGAAACATCACTAAAATTAATAATAATATTAAAATTGGGATTAGACATTCTATGAATGGCAGTTAGACTAACATGAATGGCAGTCACAAGACTGACAAGGATTTCTTCAATCATGATAAACCCTACATTTATAAATTAGAATGACAGCAATGCCGCTTAAGGTAGATCAGTGTAAAATTTCAATACTTCCTAATATTGCTGATCAAAAACTTTTTGCCATAGCTTAGTATTGTCAAACAATAATTTCTGTTAAAAGTAGAGGAAATAGTGAAGATTGTGTGATGCGGGCAACAGATTTTCTTACTTTCACTTAGTCATCTTTATTCTCTTAATTATCTTTCAAAAGTTGTATAATAAATTTTACCGTATAATATATACTTAGGGAGTTAGGTAACATTTTTCTTTTCTTTATAACTTTTTTTTTCTGAATTTTTTCGGGAATTTAGTCTATATACGAAAATTGAAAGAACAATAATTAGAATATTTGACGTTTTTTCTCAAAATTTTATTTTATTTTTACTTGTTTTAATTTAATTTCACTGAAGATACTGTATATATTCTTTAATATTGATTAATGTAATTTTTGGCCAGATGTAGTTTTAATTTTTTTGTTCATATCTGTTATTCATAAGGGACCTTGTCCCAGAATAAAGTTTACTTTCTATCTTTAAAAAAAAAAAAATATTATAGGGAAGTTTCATCAAAATCGTCAGAGCCGTTTTTGCGCTACAGTCTATAGAAAAGCATTTATTGCGCGTATGCTATTGCGCATGGAGCACCAAATTTCTGTCATAGGCATCAGTAGTCAAAACCCTAAAAAATAAAAAAAAGAAGCAACAAAATCGGTTCAGTAGTTCCCGAGAAAATCTTGGTACATACAGACCGATGGCTAAAAATATGTTTTTTGGACTCAGGGGGCTCTGAAACCTATAGATCCGTCGAAAACCGCATGTCGGAAATTTGACCCGATTGCAATACTCTCCTTACTTAGTATAGGTAGGAAAGTAAAAATTACTAACAATATTAAAAGGAAGAAATATTTAATTAAATTCAATTAATATTGAAATTATTTAAAAAGAATATAATGTTTAGAAATTAAAAAAAATAATTATTAACTGTACCCAGGGAACAAAGGGCAAATTCACAATTTGATAAATAATCACCCAGATGTTACACAATATTTACAGTTTAACAAATAACAAATGTTCAGAAAGCTATAACTCTGCACCAAATTATCCGATTTCGATGATATTTTTTTAGGTTTTGTAGGGAATTCAGTAAGCTTTCAAATACTTATAATTATAATGGTCCAAACATCGATTTGATAAAGTAAGAGGATCCATTTAAGGTGGTCCTGAATTCAGAAAACGCAGAACCGTTCGTATTGAACCATTGAAGGTTTCAACCATGGGCAACCATAGTAAGCTAGAACATTATGCTGCCCAAAATCGGTCTTGGTCTTGCATTTTGAAAGACCGCCTGACTGTCGCAAGATCAAGACCAAGACTGGTAAAAAAAGTCGTTTTTGTGAATAAAAATTAAAACAAAATAGTTATTAATACTTCACAATTTTAGTTACTATATGTAAAGAATTAGTATAACCAATATACTTTTGCATTTAATTGTTCCAATTTTTCATTCGGGCTTAGTTAAGTTTCCTCTATCTGAAAAATTACAGTAATAGGCTAATAGGTAACTGCAAGTCTCTTGCGAGATTCTTGCGCAAGACCAAGACTCGTATTGGTCGCGCATTTGGGCAACAATTTTTAATTTTTTTTTTTGTTTATTTAATGGAATTTACAACTGTATATAAATACAACTAGTAAATATGCGCAAATATAAATAATGGCATGTACAGGCTTGAAGAGTTACTACACAGTGGTTGCACTCTCTAAATAATTTTAAGTAAGAAGATCACGAGGCCATCTCCTTTTCAGACGCCTAGGAGAATTATCAGGAATCGAGGAAGAAGCAAGAGTGGAAACAAGCGGATTTGGATGGGACTGAAGTTTATCATGAAAGGATAGATATCTGGCTCGAACTAAATCAGCGACATATGGTACATTAAGGTCTTTATGAATGGTTTTATTTGTGACAAAGTATGGAGTATTAAGGATTTGACGGAGGATTTTGGATTGTAAGGATTGGATACGATAGGAATTCGATGGTTTGGTGGAGACCCAAGGCTCAACTCCGTATGTCCATATAGGTCTTATTATAGTTATGCAGATAAGTCTTTTGTAATTAATAGAAAGTTTGGAGCGTTTGTCTAGTAAGTGTTGGAGCAGTCACTTTTTAATTTATTTTCCAAAATCTAGTTTGTATTGTAAAAAAATAATTACGTAAATACAGTTTTAATTTATATACAACGATGTTATTAAAATTTATCATCTAATGTCGTAATTTATAGGAACATGATTGAATTTTGTAGCAAAGGTTTTAAGCCCACGTTTCTCAACGTGTTTACTCCGAGACGCCCACGTTTCCTTTGGAAACTTCCTAACAATGAGGTGCAGGGATGTTTTCCAAGTAGAATTGGCAAATCATAATATCATACTTGTTAAGAGGAGTTGTGTTATCTCTCGGTGGCCAAAGTTTTGTTATTCGCGTCCGTTTTAGAGAAGTTCATTGTAAAGGGGCGAAAAATCCTTACACTTTTTACCAGGGACAAATTTTCTGTAATAGGTCAAACTAAGGTCCTGCAAGAAAATATTTTGTAGCTCAATTACATTGTTAAGGTCATTTATCTTATATAATATAATAAATTGACAATGTATTTATGTAAGAGTATTATAAATCTGTCTATGTCAATACGATTACATAATAGGTTTTTATCACCATTGAGATTGATTTGTCATGGATCGTATGTTTTCTGTCATTAATCACCAAATGTCATCAATAAAACTTAAAAGAAATTATTCAATATCTACAAGCGTTAAGTAATGTGAATAAGCAACTGAAATTGAAGAATGTTGAATTTATTGAACAATTTAAAATAAAACATATCAATAATATTTTTTTTACAGTAAAAAAAAAATTACGTTCATACTGAATATACTGAATGAAAAATAATGCTAGGAAAGCATAGGCACAGGTCATCCAATGATATTCTATAAAAAAATAAATTTAAAAATTTGTTGAGGAGATCCTCAGTCCAGTAGTTGAAGTTAAAAACCAATAGAGATTTAAAAACCATAGAACTTTACCAATTTTTTTATTATATTATTATTAGCATATAAAAATACATGTATAGCATGCCGTATACGCCATGGTAATATCGAATCAGGCCACACCCTCAGTTTAATGGTTTTGTAAAATATGATACTTTTTTTATTACTTGAAAAGTACAATCTAATCTATAACTTTTATCTATATAACACACTTCAACGAAAAGAAGCTAGAAAAAAGTTACGAGTGGTCGTAAAATTAGATTTCCGAATGACACTTAAAAATGTTATGTTATACACAGTAATTTAAAAGTTTTAGAAATTTCCTAAAATATTTTTAAAAAATCGTTGAAATTGGACAATTTTGTGCAGAGATTTGGTTTTTAAATATTTTTCATAAGTGCTACTGCAAAGCTCATTTCATTTGTTTTGGCTTTTAATATTCTAAAAGTGTTACATCAACTGAAGCAATGAGTTTTATTTTTCTTAGAAAATTACTGATGATTAAATAAAAAAAATATTTAGGGAAATATTGAGATTCACGTTTTATTTATTTTTTCCTCATGCTACAAGGAAAGTAACGTTATTTTTGATACATAATTGTTTCGGAATAATAAACCATTGTGTAATAATTTGCAGAAGTCTATTTTCATGAACATGAACATTTTATCACATTTTCTGAGGCAAATATGAAGCCTCAAGGAATTGGGAGTTCATTTTCTGCTTCAATCGCTTAGTTAACATATTTTATAATCCCCACATATATTATTACAGTAAGGCTCGAAATCGGTTTTGTACCAAATATAAGCTCCTGTCATGCTGAAATACCATGAATGGGGTACCGTTGGATTCAGAATTTCACGGGGAGTTAGCGAATCGTACTCTCCACTTATGTTTTTCTTTCTAAAATAAATAAATTCGATACAAATATTTTGCTAGGCTTCAATAGTCGAACAGTAGTAGGTATGTAGATCGATGCGGGACAAATTGGATCTAGAAGATTTTGATGCGTACAGCAAGACCCGGACCATACATTTTTAAGCCCAAAAACGTACTATTTTCGAGATAACGCAAGGCATAGGGTTCGCATCCACACAACCTTACGTTAATTGTAGTACTGTCATTGAATACATGTCTCATTTCGTCGACTTGATTGAGAGAGGAGGAGTTCATATTATTTATCGGTGGTGTTTTTGATCGGCAACCCATATCATCGTTAATTCTTTACCATCTCAAGATTGAGCCACCAATTTCGAAGGCTTTCTTCACCTTCAGGCGCGCAAAATAGTCTAATCACCCCGAAAATTCAAGGAAACAAGTTATAAAAGAAAACAAACTTTATTTGCGAATAAATAAAAAACTACACACTTTCCTCTGGGTTATACCCATGATTATATAAAAAATTAATAAATTCCCTACAAAAGGAAAAAAAATCATCATCGAAATCGGACAATTTTGAGCAAAGATATAGCTTATTAAAATTTGTAAACATGTTGGTTCCAAACATTAATGAAGATTTAAATTAATTTTTGTTTCCTTTCTCGATTATATTTATCGATAAAGTAACTATTGATTTCTTTAGCTTTTGATACGTTGCATTATTTTATTTCCTTATTAATTTAGCATTTGAAAACAATATGCTGTGCTAATTTTTCGCAAGGGCCTACTAGTATAATCATAATTTAAATAATGACGTTTAAACGTAGATATAAATATATAGTATAATAGTCCATCGCCACTCCCTCCTCCCTCCCCCCCCCAGAATGGTTAGTCTGCGCTTATACATTGCGTCCAAAGGAAGTCGCTGGAGTTATCGAAATGTGTGGAAAATATTCAAACGCGCTTACAGATACAAGAAATCTACGGAAACCCCATAATCGTGTATTAGGAGTTCTGAAAAGGATTTAAAATTCATCTCACTCCTTCTTATTTCCTTTGATGCTATGTAGTAAAGATATTATTTAAAAAAATATAATTTTTTTTACTTAAAGTACTCAATTTACTTACATTTAACGATTTCATTGAATAATCTAAATCAAAATTAGTCATTTCCAAATATGTTCCTTTGAAAGTAACTTTTATGTATCCACTAGTCACCAATGAGCCAACAGTTATCCTGCAAACAATGGTACATTTCAAATTAATTTTATTTTAAACCCTGTATTTCAAATTATATATTAATAGACTTTCTACTCAAATTTCAAATTATTAATAATAAGAAAAAAAAAAGAATTGTCTAATATAGGTATCCTTTATAGTAAATGAAAATTGTTTATAGTAATATATAGTATATAACATATGTTTATAGAGTATTATACAAGGCGTTTCAGGGTTAAATGGCCAAACTGCAAAAATGAACTAAGAACCTCAAAACAAGAAAAAAAAGTCTGCAAACGTTTTGTTTAGAAGTATTCACATCTAATGAATTTCGTTGTTATGAATTATTTACGTTATATGAAATATATAAAATCTATTTATTTGTTCTAACTACTTTATAAACTAAATTTAAACATTAATATTCATATTAAATGTTTTTCAAAGTGATTTCCTTGAGCATTAATACAGGCTCGGCATCTTTCTTCAACAGCAGCAGTGGCAGAACTTCACTGGATATGTGTTATTATTTCACACGATTCAATTATCCTTCTTCATAAGGAATTAAGGCCATTGGTCGGATTTTTGTTTAATGTCACCATAGACAAAAAAATCTAGTGGTGTCAATTCTGGAGAGCGTGCAGGCCAAGCCACTGGTCCTGTACGGCCAATCCATCGATTGGGTTAATTAACATTTAGCCATTGTTGTGGACAATCATCTAATTGAAGCCACATGTCCCTTCTCAGTTGTAGTGGAATATGTTCAACTAAATCATACTATTCATTATTAAGAAATTCCAATACTTACATTGAGTATTGGATTAAACATGTTAATGTTTATATTTAATTAATAAAGTAGTTATAGTCCGTGGTATAGACTCCTTTTTATCGAATTATTAACATCCTCCTGAAACTCCATTAATAGTTTCATCTCTTCGTAACCTACAACTATTTTATTTACAAAAATGGGGCGTTTTCAATCTGGAGAGGTCATTAAATTTGTCAATTTAATTAGGTACTAAAAACTCGTAAATCCACATTTGCTTTCTGCCTGGATCGTAAGATAATTTGATTACAAAATCGAGAAAAATGTGGCATTCAAACATATTAAGCCGTTTGGCTTGACCTACACCTCTAATATTTCAAAATGACGAGGTTATATTGGACAAACGGCACAATATTTTTATAGGTCACCTTTTTTTATCTGTTTCGTGTTCAAATTATCTTACGATCTAAGTAGAAAGAAAATGTGTATTTACGAGTTTTTATTACCTAATTAAATAAACAAAGTTTGCCCCTCGTCAGATTGAAAACGCTCCAATTCCAAGAGTTTTCGTATATACAATAGTTGTAGGTTTCGATGAAACTATTTACGAAGTTTCAGGCGGATGATAAAAAGCGCTCTGTACCACGGACTATTTGAACAAATTAATAGGTTTTATTTATTTCATAAAACGTTAATAATTCATAATAACGAAAATCTTTAGTTGTGCATATCTCCTGAACAAAGCGTTTGCGGACATACCTTCAGAGGAGTTATTTTTCTTCTTTTGAGGTCCATAGTTAATTTTTTTCAGTTTGGCCCCTTAACCCTAAAAACTCTGTATATAATTAATAAATGTAAATATATATGTTTAACTATATCTATAAGCATTTGTTATACTTACCAAAATTCTCCTTTTCCATTGACATTTTTGCCTTTTACGGATCCTGTTACACTGTAATCACCTTGAAGAAGCATCGTTGGTTCGGTGACTTGGAATTTCGCCCATAATCCAAAGATGTTATTTTCTATTTTATCAATTGTAAAATTCTCTGCCTGGGATATCATAACATTGTCGAATTTGGCTGTTAAACTGAAATATAATAATAAATAATGAAATATATTGAAATTATCTGTAATATTTAATGATGATGATGATAGAAATAGATTGAAGGACAATGGTAAAAGAAAAAATTAACACCATACTTAGGGGAACTTTAAATATATTAAATAATAGCAATATCATAAATAAACCTCGCGCGGGCTCATTACCGCGTATGGGGAGCGTCCCACGGGTGGCGGATGTGGGGATGGTCGGTGGAAATTCCTTGGAAGTTCCTCCCGGCTAAGTCCGATGGACTCGCTGACCAACAATGAGAGGGGCCCGCCAGACTTGCTGGAGGGAGGGGACCTCCAGACTTGCTGGAGGGAGGGGACCTCCAGACTTGCTGGAGGGAGGGGACCTCCAGACTTGCTGGAGGGAGGGGACCTCCAGACTTGCTGGAGGGAGGGGACCTCCAGACTTGCTGGAGGGAGGGGACCTCCAGACTTGCTGGAGGTAGGGGCCCACCAGACTTGCTGGAGGGTGTGACGTAGGATTGAACGCCCTACTCACATATCTTTAGTTCACCAAACACCACAAAAAGTCATGGATCTCCCTAAGGTAAAACGCTCATTATCCGGAGGTAAACTAGTCCCCCGTTCGGGTCTCCGGGTGGGGACTGCTTTAGGGGATTCATGGCGCAAGTTGAAATATAGGGATTTAAATATTGGTACGTGGAACGTAAGGAGTTTAAACACAGCAGGGGGGCTAAAATCGGTCGCGAATGAGGTAAATGGGTACAATTTGGATGTCGTGGCTCTGCAAGAGGTTCGCTGGCCAGGGGAGGGCTCGATGAGGGAAGGGAGGTACACTATTTGGTACGGAGGAAGCGGGAATCATTGTTTAGGTACCGGGTTTCTAATTAGGCGTAGATTACTATCCGCTTTGAGGGATGTACAATTCTTTAGTGATAGAATTTCGGTAGCTACATTTCAGGGACGTTGGTTTAAAATCGCATTAATAAACATACATTGTCCGACCGAAGACAGTGACGATGAAGTCAAAAGTGAATTTTACGATAAACTCGAATGGGTTTATGATAAACTACCACGAAACTACATGAAAATAATTGTAGGTGACGCGAACGCAAAGGTAGGAAGGGAAGAAGTTTATATTCCGACGATTGGTAAAGAAAGTTTGCACGAATATAGTAATGATAATGGGATCCGTCTGATAAACTTTGCCATCTCGAAAAACCTGATAATTAAAAGTACTACGTTTAAACATAATGATATTCAGAAATATACCTGAACATCACCGGATTCGCAAACACGAAAACAAATCGATCATGTCTTGATACAACATAGCAGTATAATTAATGTACGGTCTTATCGCGGAGCAGAATGTGGATCGCATCATGAATTAGTAATCACGAAACTTCGACAAAAACTTAATATAAAAAAGAGAAAAGAAAACCGTTTCGATTTTGAGAATTTTAATTTGGAAAAATTAAAAAATCCATCAATTAGAAACCAATTCGAGCTAGATGTTAAGAATAGGTTTGAAGCTTTAGAGCTTCCTGACGAGGACCACGAAGATATTGACAAGTTATGGATAGAGATCAGAGATAATATTAAAGCGGTCAATAACTCGTGTCTAGGAAAAAAGGAAAATAAGAATAACAAACCGTGGTTTGATGAAGATTGCTTAAACATGTGAGAAAAAAGAAAAGCCGCTAAATTAAAATCTCTAAATAATCTTAGCGAAGACAATCTGGAATACTTCCGAATCTCAAAGAACGAAACGACAAAATTGCTCAAAAATAAAAAAAGGGAGTATCTTAAAAATAAAATAATTGAAATAGAAACTAATAGAATCGAAAATAACGTAAGAGACATGTACGAAGGTATAAACAGATCACGTAAATATGTAGGGCCCGTAACGTCTGGAATTAGGGATGATAATAACAACATTCTGACCGATCCGGTTGACATATTGAATAAGTTTAAGGACCACTTTGACAATATTTTAAATACTGGAAATTGTGATCTGTGTCCTCCTTCTGAGTACCAGAGTGCTGAACCATTAATAGAAGGACCAAGTAAAGAGGAAGTTGAAGTAGCTATCGGAAAATTAAAATCATATAAAGCAGCGGGAATCGATAATATTCCTACTGAACTTATTAAGGCATGCGGAGAAGCTGGAGTTTCTAAAATACATCGGTTGGTTAAAAAGATCTGGGTGAACGAGAAATTACCTGAAGAATGGAAAGAATCTATTCTTATTCCGATTCACAAAAAGGGTCCGAGGACGGATTGTAATAACTATCGAGGAATTTCACTCCTTCCGGTATGTTATAAAATATTCACTTTAATCTTAACCAGTCGAATCACGGAATATGCCGAGGAAATTATCGGAGACTACCAATGCGGATTTAGACGGAATCGTTCGACTATTGATCAAATATTTTCTTTACGGCAAATATTAGAGAAAAAATTGGAGTATAACGGTATTGTTCACCAGCTGTATATAGATTTTAAAAAGGCTTACGATTCTATTGACCGCCAGAAACTGTATAATATTCTAATCGAAAAGGGATTCCAAAAAATCTAGTAAATCTAGTCAGGATGTGCTTGACGGAGACACTCAATAAAGTTAGAATCGGTAATAATTTGTCCGAAAAATTTGAGGTTCGTTCGGGCTTAAAACAGGGGGATTCTCTTTCGCCTGTCCTGTTCAATTTGGCATTAGAACATGCCATTAGGGAGGTAATGCGAACCGAAAAAGGGTTGGATCTGGGCGGGACAACATCCGTGCTGGGCTATGCTGATGATCTGGTACTGTTAAGCGAAGACGTTGAAACTATAAAACTAAATACGACAACGTTAATGAAAGTCGGTAAAGAACTAGGACTCGAAATAAACGTGGATAAAACAAAATATATGGTTAGCTGCAAAAATGGCGATACTACTGGTGATATCGATATAGATGGTAATATGTTTAAACAGGTAGATAAATTTAGGTATCTAGGTTCTACGATAACTAGAAAAAACGAAATTGAAGAAGAGATTAAGGTTAGACTGAAGGCGGGGAATGCTTGTTATTTTTCTGTGACAAAACTACTTAGTTCGCGCCTCTTGTCCCGAAACTTAAAAATTAGAATCTATAAAACAATTATCTTGCCTACAGTTCTTTATGGATGCGAAACTTGGCCGCTTACATTAAGGGATGAGCAGCGTCTTAGGGTTTTTGAAAATAAAGTATTGCGTAGAATATTCGGACCGAAGAAGGATGAGTTAACCGGAGAGTTCAGACGGTTACACAACGGCGAATTGCGTGAGATGTATCCGGGTAATATAATTGAGGTAATTTCATCGCGGCGAATCAAATGGGCTTGTAAAGTTGTTGGGCTTAGTAACGAGAGAATTCCTAAAAGGTTAATATTTGCTGTGCCGAATGGTAAGCGTCCGAGGGGTAGACCGAAGCGAAGGTGGGAAGATTGCATTAAAGCCGATCTGAAGGGACTGGGTTTGGACGGCGAACGGTGGAGGGAGGTGTGTAACAAGCGATTGGTGGTGTCGGCATCGAACCTTCGGGTTCGCTAAGCCTTATTATTATTATTATTATTATTAATATCATAAATAAAAAAGTTAAATAATAGTGGATTGGTGGTTGATTGTAATGAAAATTGATGAGAAATTGGTTCGGGCTTTCAGTCAGAAATTTAAACTATAAATAAATAAATGATATTTATTTATTTTTTTTACTCCATCACTAACTAGACAAACACTCTAAACTTCCCATTAATTACAAAAGAATCATATACATGACTACAATAAGACCTATTTGGACATACGGAGTTGAGATTTGGGTGTCCACAGAGCCATCGAATTCCTACCGCATTCAATCCAAAATCCGTCGCAAAATTTTCAATGCTACTTACTTTGTCACTAATAAATTCATCCATAATGACCTTAACATTCCTTATGTTTCCTATTTGGCCCAATCCAGATACCTATCCTTCCATAATAAACTTCAGAACCATCCGAATCCTCTCGTTTCTAACCTTGCTTCCTCTTCGATCCCTGACAACCCTCCGAGTCGTCTGAAAAGAAGATGGCACCGAGATCTCCTATTGTAAATACATTTTTTTTAGAGTGCTACCAGTGGGTAATTTCTCAACAAGTGTTTTCATGTTTTTATTTTCTGTTATCACATTTATTGAATGTATTTTTTTCATAATAGAATTGTAAATATCATAAATAAAAAAAATAATAAAATTTTTTTTTATTTTATGCCAGTTAAGGCCTTCATTAGGACTAACAAAAAATAGATAACAATACTTATGAGAAACTATTATAATTTTTCTCTGTTATTGAGATTTTTAGAAAGATTGAAAGGATTGGGTGCATTTGATGCTAGAGAATTTTGCCGTTCCGGACAGTTCAAGTCTGGAAATTTTCTAAATATATCTATGTAAGATAAGATAATCTTTTCATACTCATTTCACTTAAGTATCTTTGCTCGATAAGTACAGTATTTTTATTTACAAAGTCTGTACTGAAAAAATACCACATTGGTGGAGAAATTACCAAATGCACGGTGGACCAACTGGTGGGGGAGGAGAATTTCAGGATGAATCCCCTCCCCAAAATTAATTTTTTTTCAGTAGTTAAATACTTAAATAATTATAATATGTTCTGTTTTAAAATTATAATGCCTTTATAGCTATTAAATATTGCTATGTCTAATGGTAAAATATCACTAAAAGTATTAGTACATACTACCCATCCCCACATATATTATTACAGTAAGGGTCGAAATCGATTTTGTACCAAATATAAGCTCCTGTGATGCTCAAATACCATGAATGGGGTACCGTTGGATTCAGAATTTCACGGGGGGTTAGCGAATCGTACTCCCCACTTTTATTTTTCTTTCTTAAATAAATAAAGTCGATACAAACATTTTAGTCGATTCAAGCAAGGCTTTAATACTGGAACGGTGGAAAGTCTGTAGATCGATACGGGACAAATTGGGTTTTGATGCGT